GACAAAATATATATCAAAATTTTTGACGAAGCCTCCTATTTGATAGGGGCGACGTCACTAAAAATCACATTTTAATTAAGACGTCCTTCGGCACGCCGGTTGTGTTAAGGCTTAAAGTGGATCCGATGTTTGAATCGACGTGTCGCCCGACGAAGGGGACCGACGATCGTTTCAATACGATGCCACGCTCAAAACTAAAAAAATTCAATTTGTTTAAAAAATGGGAGATTAAGAGTCGAGAAAATAATTTGACATTTTAGGAGATAAATTTAGAGCTAAAACCGGACGTGGTACCCTTCTTCGGAAAGGACACTTTTGGGTGATCGACATCTTCCCAAAAGCGTAACCAACCCCTTACCATAGAATCTTTGAACCGAGTGTCCGTTTTAGGTTCCTAGTTCCTTCAATACTAGGTGACGACTCCAAAATCCGTAAATAAACTTGTAAATATTCAATCTAAATTTTAGATATTTTCGAGAAGTCCCGTCCGACTTCGGGTAGCGACAATTACTATTACTTGTTATCATCGTCGTCTTCTTCTTTTTTTGTTACACGTCACTGTCTTCTTTTTCTTGCTTTCAAATGATTCTGTAAATTTTTCTAGTTGACAGTCTTCGATCAGTTTAATAATAGTCTTTACTCATTACTCAATATTCCTCAAAAGTATTATTTTCTTTCTATTGTCCAGTAAGTTACTTGGTTCGCTTAATTAATAATCACCACCCATGATTTTGCACTGCTCTATATTATTATATTCTTATAATTAATTGGCAATGAAATAAATTTAAAGTGCAATTACATTTTGATAAATAGTTAAGGACAGATATCAGAAGAATCAAATACCGAAGATATGTTAAAAACAAATTATATTATTCAAGTCATAGAATCTCGATATATTTATCCTCGATAACACAAAATTAGTTATTCACATTGGCTTTCCCATCATGTGTTTTAAAATTATTTTTTCTTCGTTAATTTATTTTCCATCCTATGGACAAGGCATGAAGCATATTGGAAATATTTTCAATCCAATTTCCTTACATTACCAGCTACAATAAAATGAGCTTTAATTACCTATATATTTTGCATCCAGAGATCATGAAGAAATGGTGAATTTTATTTTGTTATTTTAAGCAATTCATTGGTTATATTTACTGAAATTGTCAAAATTTAAATTCGAAACATCTGAACCCTGAAAGGAAACGATGCAGTAATTCTATTTAGCATCTCTTTTAGTATAAAGGATGCTCCAAAAAAAAAAAAAAAAATTGAGATCATGTAAAATATTTATTGAAACTGACACGGGTTCAAGTTCACACATAGTTATATTTCCAAAACCAGAAAAAGTAGAAGGAAGGAAGTTCTGCTATGCTTAAAACGCACACAAACCATACTAGTAGTGATAAACTGATAATAATTAAGAGCAACACACCCAAACACACTATTTGGCCTTCGAAGAAAAATCACCCACCTCTGCAACTAATTTCACCGAACCAGGTTTTTCTCCCAATATCAAATTTATTTATTTTACCTAATTACATAGATAGAAACATTTAATTTATTTTTCCACTTTAATAGCTGTAGCAATCACCCGATTACGAACCCTCTGTGAGTGTCCGGAATATATGATCATGGAGATCCCGAAGGAGGTCGTCCCCGTGGTGGCCTATGTGGTCTTGGACCTCCTAGTGGTTTTACTGGATCCCTTTGAAGAGATTGAAATTTAAGATTTTTCTCCAACCATTTCTGTGCTCCTTGATCTAATGGTTTCGCTGCTAATACATTTTCAGAAAATGAAACAAAAATAATTGCAACGAAGATTACTATTATTGCCAAGTAATGATTGCTTCTATGATACCCCATTCGTGGCAAGAAAAAAGGGGGACCTCTAGGAAATAATTTTGAGTATATTTCAAGAGACGATGGGTGGTTTTTGAAGATGAAGAGGGCTTAGCTAGGTGGAATGATTGTGATAATTGAGGAGGGGATCTATCTATATTTATATTGCACGAAAGGCAAAAATAAATGAATAAAGCATTTTAGAATTTGGGGTGATGTTTGTCTTGGGGATGAGGATGACGTTGGCAAGCAATGCTTTGTCGTCAAGAATCAAGAATTCAAGATACACTGAGATTTGTTTTTTTTTTTTTTTAATTATTATTATAGATATTGAGATATATTTCGACTAGTTTTCAATTGTCGGAATATACCTAGTGTTTAATCAATTATTAAATTTTTTTTATACTAAATCAGTGCTGAAAAATAATTATGATTAATTAGTTTTTATATCAATATAAGAACATATTTAGTATTTGATCAATTATTAGATTTTTTTTATATCAAATTAATATTTGATACTGCTAAAAAACAATTATGGTTAATTATTATAAGTTGTAGAAATTAAATTTTAATTTTTATCAAACTAAAATAACATTTTTACCTCTAAACCGTATCTCACAATACTATTAAAAGTTAGGGTTGCGTTGATAAGAAATATATATTTTTCTTATCACCGTACAGTAGTCGTGTGTTTTGTTTTTTTTTTTAATTAATGGTTGTAGGGGCGTCCTTTACTCATTTTTATTTTTTATGGTATCTTTTTTTCTTCTCTTTAAATTTATTTTTTATGTTTTGTTTATTACCTTTTAATTCATTTGAACGCACTAATAATAATAATAATATTTTTATCTGAACATAATTTTTTTAATTCTCTCTATTGAATCTCTCTTATCTTTGTGTTTATTTTTTTTCCTATGAAATAAGTACTAGCATTTACTTTATAGTATTATAGAATTTCTCGGCTTTGCATCAACCCTTGAACGTTTTGCAAAAGTATCTTCATGCTCTACTCGTCTAGTTTGTTAATCAACCAATTAATTACAAAGAATGATATACAGAAAAAAATTTTATGCTAAATTTTCATATGAACTTTATGTCAATCTATGAATGGTTAAGTGTGTAACTCATTAATTTAAATAATTGACTTTACGTGACACACACACATATATATAAAGTCAGCAAGAGAGAGAGTTTTGTATGAAATTATTCATTAAATCAAAGCGAAGTTTGATTTATTTTTATTTTTATTTTTTTTAAACTCGATTTGCTGGTGAAGAATAAAAAGAAAAAACAGAGTTTCATTACACAACTGGTTATATATATATATAACTGAATTTTGTTAGCAGAAAAAATTGCATCGAAGTCCTTGTATGTTTCATATCATTTAATTATCTTTGCGTCTCATTTATTTGAATTTTTTACTAAAGCAAATATGCTTTCCTACCACAGGGACTAATTAAATCAGTTTGATAAACTACATGGGCTAGCTTATAATTAACTCATAAGCTATTGCTGGTCAGGGCTTTAAACCCTTGACGAGGCCGAGCTTGTTCAGTAGAGGGCTTGTGGCCCAAGTACTGAAGAGGGTGGTCAACTTGGTCATTCATATTTGTTTGCTTAAACTTTTTTAGCATTTCCTGTGGGCTGCTGTCTTCGTCACTGATCCATTCCTTTCCCTTCTTGGAAAACAGACCCAAGGCCATAAGCCCATTACCTTCGCCTAGCCTTGTTTCTGTTAATCTTCAGTGAAAAATGAGAGCCATGATGCATGGCCTGCATGAGTTGTAGGCCATGGTTATGGGAATTCGAATTTCTGACTTAAATTGAAAAAAAAAATACTATTTTCTCACTACTAACTTTTGTATGGACACTTCTTCATCCTCTTTGATATATATATATATATCTATATATATATGCGAGTGCAAGTCCACAGAAAAGTTTTTGAGGAGGAAATTGAGAACACTTTCTTTTTTTTTTTTTTTTTTTAAAAAAAAGAGAACACCGTTCAGTATTCCCCATTGTAGGATTAAAGCGAGAAAAAAATACCATCGCTCTTAAAATTTATTTTATGTCGTTTTTGTGTTAATAATTTGGAAGTGAGACGTTCAAACACGGACACGAGAGAATTCCAACCAACCAACCACCATACTTAAAAAGACCTTTTGCATTTGAAAATATCTCACCAGCCCAAAAGGAATCATGCCTCAAGCAAACGGAAAATTCCATTTCTCCTTTCAATCACTTGTCTGCTTTGAAGATTATTATTTCAGAAAAGAAAGAAAAGTCTTTTTTTATTTTTTAGGTTTTTTTAAATATTTTCATCCCATATTAGAGATAGAATTAAAACGATAATAATAAAGTTTAATCCCTTTCAAGCAATTTTATGATTTGAATTTTACACATCAATAAAAATTTATCTGATGACTAATTTGATTTTTATCGGATTAACAAATTACTGATGGAAAGAAAAGTTTTTCAAAATTTCTATTCAATTCTTTATAATTGAACTTTTCATTTTAAATTAATCATTAAATATTTTACATCCGTTTCTATACATTAAAATTGTATTTTTTATGATCGAATTTAAACGTATAATTTATATCCAAATTGATAGATTTATAAGATTTTTTTAATTAAGTCTTTTTTTATTCGATGATAATAATATATTGTTGAAATATCTTACGTATCAATTAAAATTAATTTTTTTCTTACATAATTTTAAAATTACATTTTGGCATTAATCCGTTGTAAATTTTTCTGATTATTAGCACGACTTAAATGCCTAAATCTAGAAAATAACATGGAACGCAAATCCATTTTTTAAAACTTCTCAAGTCGAGGGCCCGAAGAGTTCGATTCAAAGAAGCCAAGTCCTCAAACAGGATTCAAAACCAACTTCCTCTCTGCCATAACATGCGGTCAGCAGCCACCACGTGTCCCTTCTACTCTCTTGCATGAGCGGTCGTTAGTAGTTTGTCCTGTAGTGTTTTTCTGCCTTTTTCTATGGACCCCACTTTCTCCTCCAATCTCAGAGGAGATCCCTTCGAATCTTCTTCCATTGCCAATCTGTTCCCCTCCACTCTTCTCTTCAAAAACCAAAGAAGACAGAACAGAGAACAGTAACAAGAGACTTTCAACAATAACAGAAACCTTAACAGAAAATGAGATCAATGAATTCACGTTTTTTCCTAATTGATTTACAAACCTCATGTTACTCCGCTCGACAAATCCCGCTCTCAACAACACTCTCTTACCTCTCGACAATCACTTCGTCATTTCGTCGAACAAGTTGTGTGCAACGTCGAATTGCCTCCTCAAAATCACCCACACCGTCGGTTGTACGGTCTCCGGAGATACGGAGACCGGGTGATCGGTACAAAACAGGAAATGGGTCGGTGGTAGAATTGGAGAATTCCGTTTCTTCTTCGAGTTCAGTGAATAATAATAGTGAGTTGGATTTGTTTCTTGAATTGTTGCCTTTAAGAATGAGGAGAGAATTATCTGGGCATAGAGAGATTGGCGAGTTGATTGAAGTGGTAATGGATTTGGGAAGGAAGCCTATTGCCAGGTTCCCGTCTGGGGATTTTGTCATTTGTGAGCAGCCAGTGAGACACGAGGATTTAAAGCAGGCTATATCAAAGGTGATATTTATTAAGGAATTTAATGGTTATTTTTTGAATGTTTTGATCGGATTAAATTTAATACGTAAGGTTATTTATTGGTGTACTTAATAGTTTATTTGTTTTATATGGAAGGTGATCTAAGCAAATTATCTGTTCTCTTGTTGGTTGGTACATTGGTAAAAATTTGTCAGACTTAGTTTTTTTTTTTTCCTATCCTATGATTACTTTAGTTGTGTTAATAAATATTAGTTGGTTGTGAGGTTTGACACCCTTTTAGCTTCTTTTATATGAAGCTTCTTTTTTGTATTATAGCTAATTAGTGACCCTGTCTGCATGTGGACGTACGTTTTGTTACAGTGAATATTCAAACTGTATGTTTTAGTTAAACTTGTGTAGAATGAATGGTGATCCAACACTTTCTTTCTATTGAGAAATGGTCAATGGATTGATCTACAGAGATGATGTGCTGATCATTGATTGATCTACATGAAATATGATGTTAGCATTAGGATGTTGGGGACGAGATAGTAGTGAAAATCTTGTCTGAAGTTAGTTGTTGTTTGTGATTAGGTTGGTGATTTTTCTGATGACAACCGTTCGGGTATCAATAGTTCTTTGCATCGAATAAGTGCCATTCGAAACCGCAAAATGCAAATTATTGGTCTTACTTGTCGGGTTGGTCGAGCTGTATCTGGAAGTGCTGAAATTATCCGTGACTTGGTTGAGGGGGAGGTTCTATCTTGGTCATAGGTCGTCCAGGAGTGGGTAAAACAACCTTAATCAGGTACTGGTGTTTCCATGCTTTGTACAATTGAGATGCTGAGATGAATTTCATTTTGGAAAATAATTTCATGGATGTCAGATTGGTAAAATTGCACACATGCACATGCATAGATCTTGTACGCTTTTTCATTAATGTAAACTATGGGTGTTAATATTGATAATTCTTTGTACTAGTTATGATAATTTGTCCTTTGTTTCTGGCCATTTTTATCCTTGTTTCCTTTTACATTAAATGCCTTACCTATCATGACCTGGGATTCCCATATGTTATGCTAAAAATTTTGTAGTGGGAAAACTGGAAAAAAGAGAACATATGGAGATAGTCTAAGCATTCGAGTTTATTCGAAGCTTTTAGAATAAGTTAGGGATCATTTTGTCATCTCCTTCCATTGACGTATTGAGAATTGTAATATTTTCAATAATCCTGTGTTGACACATGCTTTCTTTTGTTATCTTTTCTGGTGGGCACAGAGAAACAGCCAGAATGTTGGCAGATGACCAGGGAAAACGTGTTGTAATTGTAGACACGTCAAATGAAATTGGTGGTGATGGAGATGTTCCCCATGCAGGAATAGGTCGTGCAAGGAGGATGCAAGTTCCTAATGTTAATATGCAGCATAATGTGAGCATTAAAATGGCTGATTGTTGTGATATTGCATAAAGCACTAGACATTCACTTATTTTATGCCATCACTTGATGAACTTCCATGCAGGTTATGATCGAAGCTGTTGAAAATCATATGCCCGAGACCATCATAATTGATGAGATCGGAACAGAGCTTGAAGCCTTAGCCGCCAGCACTATTGCTCAACGTGGAGTTCAGCTGGTTGGAACAGCCCATGGAATGACAATAGACAACATAATAAAGAATCCTTCTTTGCAGATTCTTGTTGGAGGCATAGAGGTTCGATAGATCACCCTTTTTTATTTAATTTTAACTAAGCTCATGCTGATGTGCATATACTCCAATCAAGGCTATGCTGTCTGTTGACTGTGCGGTAAACATAATTTTCTCAGTTCCACTTTGTATTGTGTCCCATGCAAAGGAGACCCCTGAGCATAAAAGTTTCTTATTAATCCAAAAATGTCCCTTTGTCTGTGTATAGAGTGTAACTCTTGGGGATGAGGAAGCAAGGAAAAGGAAAGTGCAGAAGACAATTCTTGAGAGGAAAGGGCCCCCGTCATTCACATGTGCTGTTGAGATGATATCTAGAACCGAGTGTCGTGTTCATCACAGATTAGATGCAACAGTAGATGCTATACTGGCTGGTAATTAATATTTTTATATTGGGAAGCTCTTTTTATACAATGTTGCATCCATAACACTTCTTTTGTACAATAGGAAGATCTCCTCTATTTGAAATCCGCCACATGGATATTGAGGGTGAAGATTCTCTTAAGTCCATTCCAATTCTTCAAGAGAAACTTATAGGAGAAAGTGATGATTCTCTCGAGTCCATTCCAATACTTCGAGAGAACCTTATAGAAGAAAGTGATGATTCTCTCAAGCCCATTCCAATACATCGAGAGAACCTTATAGAAGAAACTGTGGTGATGACTATTAATAAAGAAAAATCCGATGTAGTAGAGTCTGATGAGGAAAATGAAGATTATCATCCAAAACAGTCCAAGAAATGGAAATCCAATGGATCTGTGCCCCAGAGGAATTCACCAGTATGTGTCTACACTTGCAAGGTAAACTAATCAATGTTTCCTTCTGAAGCTTCTTCTGCTTTGTACTTTTATCAAGGTTGCTTTTAGAGAGTCATAAAATTTGAGAAATTTTCATCCGTTATCAGAATCCAAAAGAATTTTTCCATGAGTGACAAACTTCCTGGTGATATTGAAGTTGGAAGGATGGCATCGACAATCATTCTGTTGTGTTTTGTTGTGTTTCAGATCCTCGATTCTGATCTACTACAAGTGGCAAAGGTAATGGGGCTGGAGGATGAGATAGATGTGACTGATGACATTGGAGCAGCAGATGCAATTCTAGCATCCAGTTCAGAAATGAAGCAGAACCCATGGATCCGTGGTGCTGCAAAATTCCATCACTTGCCGGTATTCGTTACAAAGGTATTGCTGAATTGTTTTTTCTTATCCAGTTTTAAAATAGTTACTACAACATGATAACAACTTTCACATGTTATGTTGGGACAGGCACCTACTGATGATGATGTGTTTCACTTGCACAGAACTTTGCTGTAGGATCTGAAATGTTCCAATATAAGTTTGTGATGAAAATTTAACCCGTTGGCAAATATTTTGAATCCCATTTTTCTTAATACCCCCTTTTCCTAAAATAAAAGAAATCCTTCCTTTTTTTGATTGGATGTGTATGTCACTTTCTTAATTTTGTGTAGTATGTCAAAACATGCACTTTCTGAAATCTTTGGCCTATCTATTGCTGCAAAAAGATAATATACCTATATTAAGATATGATCTATCGCTAAAATTATCGTCTTCCTTTTTCTTGTTTTGCAGTCAAATACCATGGCACAAATGGTGAAGGCACTTCGCATGATTGTCGGAATGGAATCACTTGGCTCTTCATTAAAGCAGCCACTCAAAAGTTCATTTGACATAGAGACTGAAGATGATGCACCAAAAAGGAAACCAACCCTGGAAGAGATTGATGCCTTGGAGGTTCAAATTCCTTTGTGCATTTGGCTTTCTGTCTTCTCATTGTGTTTCATAAAAGTCCAAGCATTCAGCTGTTGCTTTCTTGTTTTAACTTCTCTCTTTTTCTCTCATAGGAGGTTCGCCTTGCAATTGAGTACATTGTCATCCCTGGAGGAGAGCCGGTGGAACTACTTCCTAGATGCTCTGAAATAATTGCTCGGCAGCTAGAGCTCGTGGAAAGCTATCAGTTGACAGCAGAAAATTCAGGCACTGAAGTTAACCCTAGGTTGCAGATTCTTCCTATGAAGACAAACAAGAAAACTTCTAAATCTCCAAAATCCAGTTCAACTTCACACTCGGTGACAAGCTTAGATTCATTAACTCGAAGCAGTGGTACTAGTGTCACAAGGCTGCCCCTTCTTCCTGAATAATCCACACCACCTTCCTAATTCTTACAAATTTCATTTCAACAATTGGTTGATACATTTTCATTTCCTGTACAGTGATGCAAGTTGTGTAAGTATCTCATATTCTGTAATTGTTTAACGTTGTTAATGCGTAATTCTGTTTATTGTCGTTTTTTCTTCAATGGAAAATCATAATCTATTGCAATTCAAGCAATGAAATGTGTTGTGATTACACAATCTATATAACATATCTAATTTGTTTCGAGTTCACCTATGTTATAGAATTTTTCTCGAAGAAATATGTTATCTATATATAAAATCGACTGCATGTTTCGCATGAAATAAATTTGGCTAACACTTTGCTTATTAAAATTAATTCACATGCCAACACAATATTAGTTCAAGAGAAATCATCATCATCATCTAATTCGGGAATACACGAGGGTTCAAATATATGTCAACATTAATGTGCCATTGATCATCGTTTCTCTCTGTGTCCAATTAAAAAAATTCCTCAATAATTATATTTATTTTTTCCAACCATTATGAATGTTTTCGAATCAACCACGTACATGTAAATTCAAATAAAATTCTTTTTTTAAATAATTTTAAATTCGTATTTCTGTGTTGATTTGATACATTCATGAGATTAAATGGGTCGAAATGTTAGTTTAAACATCAAATTTAGATAGTCAAATGAGTAAACAAACCTTCCAATCAACAACGTAGACGTCAATTCAAACGATCATCAAGTTGTATCTCCGTATTGATTCTATATATTCAAGGAAATAAATTGCTCGAAGTATTGGCTCAAATATCAAATCCAAGAACCAAATAAGTGAACAAACCTTCTTACATTTCAAAACTCGTTTTCAAGTTAGTTGTTAATAACTTAGAATTATAACTATACGAATTTTACATTCAAATTCCCGATCCAAAATGTGATATATATATATGGATTCCATTCTTCTGATTTTTTTAAATATTTCAGAAAAAACTCTATTACACTTGAAGCTTGTAAAAAAACACTTCATTAATTGATTCCGAATATTTTTTTCGATAATATCTTATATATTGATAATGTTAGAAGAAAGAAGGAATTACTCAATATCCTTTTCCTGAATCACATATAATATATATTATATATTTTTTATCTTTTTTTTTTTTCGATCCAATATCATGCTAATTTTTTTTATACTAATCCAACCTTACTCTCATTTTAGTATCTTAAAATGTTTTTAGAAGTTCGTATATATATACACAAAAAAATTCTTAGGTTACTAAGGCGGGCCCAAAAGCAAGGGCCCTCCAAACTATAAATAAAGCCCAAAATAATTATGGTGCCGGGTCCATCTCTAGCACTATACAAAATAGTCTCAGAGAAAAAAATCAAGTCGTCGATTTTTCTAGGGTTTCTGCACGAAACAGAGGGACGCTAAAAAAGGTAGCAAATTTCTTTTCTTTCCTTCTCTTTTCTCTTTCTCTGATTCAATCTCTGGCTTAAAACGGGGTAGTTTTCGTGCAGAAGTTGCGTTTTTATATTGTATAGAGAGAAAGAATGGCCGGAAAGGAAGAGAATCGAATTTTTGTGGGAGGTTTGTCGTGGGACATCACTGAACGACAGCTCGAGACTGCGTTTAATCGCTTTGGCAAAATCGTCGAGAGTCAGGTACGGGACTGTTTTTCGTTTGTTAAAAGATTCTGTTTGGTTGGCTGAGAAGATGAGGGAAAATAACGAAAGTTGTGAATTTTTGATATTTTATAAGTCAGGTTAATTAAATATAAAAAAACACGTTAAAAAAGTGCTTAAGAATAATAAAATGTGTTTTTTTAATTATCTATTCAAGTTTTTGTTTCTGGTCTCTCTAATTTAGAGGATAATAATTATAGATTCTCTGAATTATTTTTACAGTGTTATCTTATTAATTCTTTTTCCTTCTTTTTGTTTTTGGTTTGCTGGGTTATGATCTTTTGAGATGCTGTGTGTTTAGAGATATTTTTCCATCAGAGTGGTTGCTGAAGCACAGCGACATTTGTTTGATTGATTAGATTAGTTTGGTCGGATCCATACTTTAGGTTTGCAAGCGAGGATGTAGCAGTGGTCTCAGGATATGTGGAATATTGAAGTGAAATATACCATGTTTTTTTTAAAGTTGCTATCAGGGGTAACAAGAGTTGCTATTTGAGGAAGAGATCTCACCAGAAAAGTTTGGAATGGACATTTTCGTGTTTTTTTTTCTGGTTAAGAGATTTGGCTTTCCAGTTATGGTGGATCTGTATTCATGGATGATGTACTGGGGAGTCCAACTGAAATTTGTTACCGTCACAAAGGTTCTGTGAGAAGATTTATCGAGCCGGACACTTCCTCGTTTATTCCTTGGATGTTTGTCAATTGAGATTTTATGTCATTATGCTTTCCTTCTCAGAGAATTGTGATGGTTGCCTAGTGCCGTTTGATTATCACTCTACGGTATAGCATATGTGGAGTTTCTTGTAGGACTTCTATGCCATCTTGTTTATTTGCCGCACTTGGCTTTCCCACACTGATAATCAGAAATGCTGCATCCCTTATGCTTGACCTCTTTGCTATAGAGTGCATGCTCAAACTTTGATTTTGACATGTATTTTGGGTAAGATTACATTCTTGGCTGTCCCAAGTAGAGAAAGGTAGTTCTGGCACATCATGCTCGATGTTGCAACTCATGTGAAGCAGTTAAAGCTGTCTCATTCTGCATGGAAATGGATCCTTTTACCATGCTAGTGCTGTTCGTTTTGAGGTTCCTGATTGCCATCTTTGCATTAAGTCCTCATCTTTGAACTGTTTTCAGCTTCTTGCTTATTTCCTATAACAAGATTGCTGTTGGTGGACTTATTCATTCAATGTTCAGGATAAGTTTTCAGAGCATGGACATGGCTTGTATACATTGATTAAATCGCACACTGCATCCTGCATTCCAGCATATGTAGGTCACCCTGTTCGTGGACTTTGTTTGTTTGTAAATCCTCTGCATTTGCTTGTGTCTATTGGAAGCCTCTGGAGTCTTAAGTTGTATCTATTGCTTTGATGTACCGGAACTGCATTCTGCATGGCAGAGGACAGATTCAGTGCCGTCTCAGCAATACAGAATTGGGTGCGTTGTAGCTTGTCAGTGGTTGTTTTGTTAATTTAAAAACTGCCTTTAACAGTTAGTAGCAGGGCTGATCTATTTTTGGAAACTGGAAATGCTGATCTGTTGATCTTTTCAGGCCTGCACATTGAATATCTGTAGTTGTTTGCTGCTGCAATTGTTTCCATCCTCTCTCTCTCCCTCCCTCCCTCCCTCCGTCTCTCTTTCTGTTTCCACCATTCTTTATCTGCTTTGTAACTCCAATGGAAGGACTGGACATAGGCTACCAGGTAGCACAAGCACTGAAAGTTTTCAACATTAAAGCACGTGACAGTAATCCTAGCTTTCTGGTTTATAAGGTTTCGTCTGAGTGGATCTGGACAATACACGACCGGATATCTAACTATTTGAATTAAGTTTAAGAAGTTCTGCGTTTTGTCCATTCATTATGTGGGTAGATGCATTGAAAAATTTGCTGTTTCTTGATTGAATAGTTGAGTGGGTTCTCTTGTAAGTCTGCCAACTGAATGATGAGCTACTGAAGAAGGATCCAGAATGATGGAAATGGTCATGTTTGTTCTGTATTGGTGGAGGATTGATTATTTTGAGATGTTTCATTGTGGATAATTTGGTTTCACGAGAGTCACTGAAACTGTTTTGATATTTAAATTATACTTTGGGGTATTGTGTTATTCAGATTTGATGACCTAGGCTGGAATGTGATCGTATTCAGTAGAACACTAGCAGAGGTAACCATCTTTTGTGGGATGTTTGCTGAAGATTGGTGCATTCAAGTTTATGGAGGGCATGTGATGGTTATTATGGAACCCCTATCTTGGATTCTGTGGGAAATAGTGGTCAGAGGTCGACTTTCTAGATTTCAGTTAACTGTTTTGAAGATTCTTCTGTTTTCTTTAAGAACTCTTTGCAAAATCAAACATGTTGGGATCCTTTACCATTCCATATAACAAAATGAAAGTAAGTTATCTACCAGTTACTATTAATCATCTTCTTCCTGATTATTTTTTCATGCAAATCAATTTGTGCAGTTTGTTTTTGCTCCCCCTTTTCCCTTTTCTGTTGAGAGAAGATGATACCATGTGTGAAAGCACATTCTAAAACCAATTACCCAGTTAGTATACTTTACCTAATGTGCTTTGCACTGGTAATGCAGGTATGTTTACTGGTGAGTGAGCTGAAGTCAATTTTGTGTTCTGTAGTTTTAAGTTGGAGTGATATTTCACACCCATTATTGTTACTCCCTCTGTCCTGTTATGTTGGTCCAAATTTACTTCCTTTTGTTGTCCCAAAATCTATGTCCATAGCTGATAGTCAACTGTTAATTGCTGCCCTAGTTTTCTTTTTCTGTTTGTATTATAAACCACACATTAAAGACACAATCTGCTGTAAAATAGTAAGGGTAAAATCAAGATCTAAGAATAAAAATGAGTACATATGAAGAGTGTTTAATGCTCTTCCTTGATCATTAAAGGGGGTATATGTTGTGTTGGAAATGATAGTTTTATCTAATAGCTCTCTCAAGTCTGAGAACCGTTTTAAGAGGTAGAGCTACAATGATGTTTAGGAGAAATAGTATTTCTCCTAAAGTAGCATGAGACAGCATATAGTGTCCTCTTATTCTCTGCATGTGATAATCCAATCATATTAGCGGGTGTTCTCGGACTTGTTTCACCTGAATTGATTGATCTTTCATCATCATCTCCCGGTTCGAGTATGCACATGTTTGGGTTATTTTGATAAATGATAAAGTGAATTCACTGTGTAGCAGCATGTATATGTGCTAGCCATTCATTTTCAATATGCATTAGGTAAAAAGTGTCTTGCTGTGTCATTCTTTACATAGTATAATTATAATGCTTAAGCTGCTGCCTGCTCTTCTTACATTTATACAATTGCTTGCCATCACGCTTTCCTATCTGGTGTTTCTGCAGGTGATGTTGGAAAGAGATACAGGCCGTCCACGTGGATTTGGATTTATTACATTTGCGGATCGTCGAGCCATGGATGATGCTATCAGGGAGATGCACGGACGAGACTTTGGTGACCGTGTCATCTCAGTGAATAAGGCCCAACCTAAAATGGGAGGAGATGATGCAGACCATGGCTACAGAGGAGGCTACTCAACTGGCAGCAGAGGAAGCTATGGGGGAGGAGACAGACCTGCTGGACAAGATGAGTGCTTCAAGTGTGGACGTTCAGGGCACTGGGCTAGAGATTGCCCTTCTGCTGGTGGCCGAGCTGGCGGTGGAGGCTTATTTTCTTCTCGTTCTAGGTTTGGAGGGGCTGGAGATCGTGGGGATCGTTTTGGAGGAGATCGTGATCGATACATGGATGACCGCTATGATGGGGGTCGCTATGGTGATAGGGATCGTTTTGACAGTAGAGACAGCAAATATGGGGGACGTGATCGCTACGCTAGTGACAGGTACCTTAAGTTTTGAAGATTTGAAAATGTTTGAATGATATTGCATGCTCCATGTCTTTGTGATCGCTATACTAGTGACAGGTACCTTAAGTTTTGAAGATTTGAAATTTTTTGAATGATATTGCATGCTCCATGTCTTTATACTTGCAACTGTTGTAGCCTGCTTTTACCTTTCTGCCACCCTCAATATTTATTTTTGTTGTTTGCTTTTAACTATGCATGATGGAATTTGATGAGAGGCTGTGCCATTTTTGTGTTGTAGGGACATCTGCTACTGGTAAAACCCTGGACGAATTCATTAATTCTGTACCTTATGAAGCATGATGACCTATTTATGTCTTTTACTTTTCATGAATAGTTCGGTTCTTAATTCGTAAACCATGCAGGTACCCACCAAATGGAGATCGATTTGCTGGAGATAGGTATGGTGGGTCAGATCGCTATGCACAAAATGGTTATGGCAAAGATAGAGGCTATGATAGGGATGGGGGTCCACGAGGTGGCAATGATAGGTATGGAGGCGGAGGGCCTCCACGCAATGATAGGAGTTACAGGAACAGGCCAGGACCTTATGACCGCCCCAGCAGAGGAGGACGCCCGTCTTCCTTTGAGCGCTACTAATTGCTAGCTTGTGATCAGTGTTATCAAACGTGTAGGTGTGCTGTATTCTATATAGTCAGTTGAACACACTGTTATGTAGGATGGATGTTATGTTCTATCATTAATTTTCAATCTGGTAAGGGTCATGTAGGATGATGCAGTTGTTAAGAAATGGCACAGCAGTTGATAGTTGCTTTCTGATCTGAATTTTTGTTTGGTTTCCATTTTTAACTTCTTGGGAACCAAATGAGCGCATATGCATACTATTTTTTGTAAAATAACCATCTTCACTCAAAAGCTTAAAACTATTAAGTGAAATTTGGTAATGGTTTTATATATATATATATATATATATATATATATATATATATATAAATCCTCGATAACACATTCTTTCAAATAAAAGTTTTTTAGATTTGAAATTTGCATGGTTCGTTCGCTTCTTTGTCTTGACTTTTTTATCTTTTTTTTTTTAATATAACCTGAGAAATTGGAGGTAGGAAGATTCGAATTTCTGATTCTTTGGTAAAAAAAGTTGGAAACATCAAATTGTCATTCCTCTCAATTCGTGGCCCAAGGTATTGTTATTGCTTATTAGTAAAGACACCAAGAAGTGGAAAATATAAATTTTCAAATTTGTAAATCTTGTTTTTAAAAGTAAAAAGCTTAATGATCATCAGTATGATAAGGTGCTGTACACCTTTTTCTAAAACTCTTGGTGATTGACAAGAATTAAAATTGTAGGATGACAAATATTTGGAAGTTTTTTTGAAAAACCAATTTAAAAAAAAATCTAAAAATATATAAGTGAACAAAGCTGCATAGTAAACTTATTTGGAAGAACAAAAATGAAAACTGAATTTATTAGTCTAACAAAAATATCATAAAATTTATTTGTCATTTATCTTTGAAAAAAAAAAACATACCTTACTTTTCACCCACATAAATTCACTCTCATAATTTTTCCTTTTACAAAAGTTAATATGGACTCCAATACAAAACCCTAGCCATAATGTTACTTACGGTAAGTCCTAATGAACTGGGTGATACTTTAGTCAAATACCATTCGGGCTTGATATTACACTTTTACCCTTTTAAAAGGGGTCGAATTCACTTGATTTTCCATTTTTATTTTTATACTTGCCTTGATGTCGACAGAGTTGGAGTGGAGTGGGATTTTAATAATCAGGAACTGACATGAAAGCTTGCTTTCTACAGAAGGTACAAGAAAACTAGAAAACCTAGACTCGAGGATATAACAAAAGCCATTATCGTGTATTGGTCAAAGACTGATTTTGGACAAAATTTTCAACACTTTCAGCTGTTGAATATTTCTTAGATTATGTATTAATTAATATTCTGCTGCTTATCAAACTTTTCAACTGAGAAGATCGAGTGTTTTAATTAAATAAGGAACCACGTGGGGTTGCAAATACTTCTACTGTCTTTACTGCTTCGTGGCAATGGTTAGAAGAAATGGGAATGCTGGACTTGATTGCGTGTTTCCTTATCTCTGTATAGCAGCGAGTATTTTGTTTTTAATATTTTTAATTCTGTTTTCGGTTAATTAAAAATTAAACTCACCAAAAAAACATCAAACCCAAACAGAATTACTATTCGATTTTTTTTTTTGAAACGAAGTTTTTGCATTCGGTTTTTCGATTAAATGTTTTTAAATTAAATAATATAAATAGATCAAAAAATAATATATTATCGACTATGATATTATTGAATGTTGAAATATATTACAAACCAAACCGGAAATAAATAAATAAATTCGGTTCGGTTTAGTTTTTCATTTGATTTCCAAAAGCAAACTTTGGAAATTAATTTATGTACTGCCTACTTGGCGTTGACAAACACAAAAGAGGAAAAGGGCAAAAGAAATGTGTATAAATAAATTCAGCTTCCCTTTTTTTCCAAATTAAATCCATGCCAAGAAATATCATGAAGACCATTCAAGTTTAAACACTACTGATTCCCAACCTTAATTTATGGACCACAAAAGCAAAAACTAAGTTGAGACAATGAACATCAATTTCCGTTTTTTTTTATTTTTTTATAATCTTTTCCAAGACTATTCTAAAGATGTCACTCTTAGCTGCTAGACTTATTGACACCAGCTTTTCCAAGCACCCATCCAGGGAAGGAAAGGAGAAAATTTAAAGAAAGAGACGGCATGCGCATGTGTTCAAGTGGGCAATAAATCCAAGCATTGCTGGTCCCCTGAAGATATCTATGGCAATCAGCCCAACGTCATTTCCTTAGAAAATTCAACGAATCCTCGATCGAGAAGACACCGAGAGACTAATCGGCACCCAAGAGAACAGGGCGTTGACGCTAATGAAGCACGTATGTCTTACTATTCCAAGATACAGTACTCTTTTCTTCCTTGACTCTCGAAGATACAGACGACAATACTGACCAACTTGTAGTTCACAAACCCCACACAGAAAGGAAGTCGGCAGTGATGTTTCAGACCCCAAGCTAGCAACTAGCAAATTTTTATATCCCACAAGAATAGGAAAGATCCCTTTCCTTGAATTTAAGTTCTTTGGATTTAAGAACTTTTTGTATATTTTGCTTTTTACTACGGTCTAGCTAGATGTGGTCAGCATGAGGAAATTTGTGTCAACTGTTTGGATGTCTCTTCAATGTCTTAAACGTTAAGTTGCTAATCACATGCATGCATTAGTTTTTATCTTGATCAGGTAATTAATTAAGCTTAATTTTTTGGTTAACTTTTATTCAATGATATATGATTGCAACTTGAGGGATTGCTTTATTGAATCAATCTCAGTCGAAGAAAGCCTACCCCACATCTAATCACTCGATGCACAGTATTGTACTAGAATGATCTCTATGCAAAGATAGTTTTGCTAATTAAGCTCGATTTGTAGCATGCTCTTATCATGACTTTTTTTGTCGTTAAATCCTTGGAAAATCCAGTTAATAGTTTTTTTTTTTAAAAAAAATATTCATAGATAGTAAAATGTTATCGAACAAATTTTCGACTAAATCCACCGTTAATGGAGCATCGAGTTAATGGGTTTTGAATTAAAAAATTAATGAACAATCCTCCTCTAGTTTTCAATTCCCGGAACTCATTGAATAATTTCTACAAAGATATATTTTTTGAATAAAGACTACAAGATTTTGAAAAAAGGCCAGTCAATCAAATTATCACGATTTGCCAGCTCCCTTGAATAAGAATCAATCATTCTCTCTCTCTTTTTTTTTATAAAAAAAAGTAATAAATTCAATATCAATCATAAAAATTTTAGAAATATTTTATCCAGTTCAGATGTATCTATCAGATTAACCAGTTGATGAAATCCCATTGGATATTAACAAAGAAACGCTAACTGTTGTGTTTGAGATCGATTCTGTCATTTGGTAGCTAGCCTTGCCTGAGTCCTTCTCCAAGCATTCGTGGAATCAGTTGAAAAGTTCAAATCAGCCCTACTTTACTTATTTAGCGAATCATGCACCTTTTTTTTATTGCTATCATTATTTTTTAGATTCAACAAGTAAATATGTCATCGAGTCAATTTTTCACATATCTCGAGATTAATATTTTTTTAGACGTAGTTAAAAAACATTTTTCAACACACGATTTTGGATATTTTAAAAATAAATTTTTAAAAATACTAGCTACAAAAATCAAACTCTAAACCTTGTATACAAATCAACTTTTGCTTGCTAACAAACTACCATCTTATGATTCATTTTTTATTTGTTACAACAATCAGTATTAATATCATCAATAGATGTGGTCTAAAAAAAAATTGTTTTGATTTGAAAAAAACCAAAATTAGATTAATAGTCTGTAGTTGTTTGATCATATTAAACAAACAATACAAAAAAATAAAAAGGAAGAATCTTTAATCCAAGGTCGGTCCATCAGTCCATGTAAATGACTAAGCACATCCAAAACAATAAGAATATTCCCTTATATAAAATCTTCTGTTGGATAAATTTTCTGCTACTTTGATTATTGGCTAGTTATTTGTATATCATTAATTAACTTATAAGGATAAAGCATCGATCTAGTAATCGGTTGGGTTTATCAACTAATTAAGGCTTACTAATCAACAATAATAATTGGAGTGATTAATTATTTTATTATTAGGTTGACGGTGATGTTGAAAATAAAAGGAGAAGTGCCAATTATGGTGATGATTTGTTAATTTGGTACTGGTCCTAATTGATTAAACATAGCATTAAGGGTCAACGAGTACTATCAGGTTTGATGTCAGCTTGGAAAAGATTTTAAGAAAAGAAAATTAGTTTCTTGTAGATAAAGATTAAGGCCATCAGATTAGATTTCTCGATTGTTGCACGTTGTTTGACTTGATATGTGTGCTTTGCAAGCATTTTCTTTTAACAATTCAGATATTCTGAACCACTGAAGGACGAGGTTTAAGAGTAAACGGTTGTTTTGGTTTATTCAATACGTTGAATTCTCATTATTCATAAGAGTAATTTAGTAATCCACTAAAAACTATATGAATTTTGGCCTTTACTTGACTCAAAGAGTGATGAATTCATTCCAAAGTATTAATGCAAAAATTAATTAAATCAAATATTTTTGAGTTAGTTTTTGTTCAGATTTGAAATGATGAATTTATGAAATATTTTCTTTATTACAATTTATTTTATATACAAAACCCAGAAAAATAACACAATAAAAATGCATTACCAAACGCATTACCTCTGATTCTTCATATAATATAATAAACGTGCATAAACAAACAATCATGAAGTTCCATTAGGAATTTCTGATTTTGACGTGAAATCAAGTTTAGTTACAAAGAAGCTGCATTTCTTTAAAAATACCTACAGCATAAGCCGTTCAACTTATATTTGGACAAATTTCATGTGAGTTAATTGCGTTGGAAGATAAACAGATTAGGGACACAAATTAAACCATTAATTAGCTTAAGTAGTTAAACTTAATTTCAATACCTAAAGATCGGTTCGAAAATACTTCATCATCTATGAATATGTAAAAAAAAACATTAGATTTAAGTTTTTTCTTGAGAAAATGAGTGAGTATCTTTTTATAACTGAAATAAGTCGTCACATGTGATTTTAAAAAAATATTAATAGAGGGTTTTTCGATTCTCAAAGTATTACTAGTTTAAAAATTCGGACTAATTTATCGTTATTACGTCGAGCATATAAGACAAACATAAATACGTAAAATGTTTTTTCATATATAAGGATTTGAATTCAAAACCATTTATTCTATAATTATTTTCACTCAAACTAACCCTTATGGATTATATTAATAGAGGATTGCTCATTTAGGATATGCCCTAAAATTCAAGAGAATGACAAGAAATTCGTTCTTAGAAAAGAAAGAACAGAAATAAAGGTTCATGCACTATATACATGCAAGTTGAAGGAGAAAACTTGCAGAACTAAGGGAGGTTGAAAATGTGTGAAAAAGACGATAAAAAATACATGGTTAGGGAAATTGCCATGTATTTAGGTGGTTACTATTATTAAGTAAGACTAACACAATTAATCGATAGTACATAGATGCATATGGGGTAGGTAAGAAGTCATAAAATAGTGTATAAATAGTCAATAAATTGACTTTGCCAATGTGATGATGCGCCGCTTCCCTGTGATGGCAACCTACTCAGCTGCTCTTAAACTTTGAATAGGAAATGAGAGCACTTAATATTCCTATTTATAGTTCTATACATCAATAATTAGCTAACAGCGTTAATTTCATTTTCTGTTATTATCATTAGTAATTTGATTTGACAGGGTTGATATGATGGCTAACGGACTATGCTCTTTCTCAATCTTACATGAAACAAACTGAGATAATTAAATTTTCGTGAACTATTACATAAAAATGAGGCATTTGTTTTCCTTTAATATGAAGGCATAAAATTCAATCCAAATTATAATGATTTTTTTTTTAAAAGATGGAATCCTGTAATCTATGATTAATGGTTAGACAGTCAGAAAATTAATATTAGTAATTAACATGAAAAAAAAAGTCATATTACCATTACATATTAAATTGACCCATGTAATCTACAATCAAACGGTCAGAAAATTAATAATAATAGTTCACAGAGTAGGAAAAGAAATAGGTATTACCACAACCTATTAAATTGATCTCCTATATAAAAATGAAGAATTATTTAACCACTTTTTATAATTAGATTTTTTATAAGTTCAAATAAAAAAATAAAAAAAATTGAAGCCGTAACATGTTGTAAGTGTAAATAAAGAACTCAATATATATGGAACAGAAGACTATTAAGTGCCTATCTATAATTTGTTCTTATTTGCTATTTTTTGCAGAAGTTTGGCATCTCCAGTTGCTTGTTGTGCTGTAAACGAACATAAACCAATAAATATGTTAGTCCTATCCGTTATGAATACAATTTAAGGAAATGTTGAATTGAGGAAAGATCATAGTTTGTGTGGGCAAGTAGATGACTGTGGAGGGGAAACCTATCTTATGATATACACGCAATTATCATTAAATATACCATGGCTTTCACCAAAGAGAGTAGAAAAATTTTTAATTATTTAAATAAATAATTTGAAATTCGAGTATATATATATATATATATAAAACTTTTTGAGTAATTGTGTATGCTTTGTAAGTCTAAACTAATAACGAGAGATTAATCTAAACCTTTGAACTTGAAATAATTTAATAATAAAAAGAAATACTATGGTTTCTTATTTTTCAATTCATATTTACTTTGGCAGTCTCTGTTGTATTGTTCCATAAGAACGGTTTCTTCATATCAAATTAAAAAATAAATAAATAAACCAAGAATCTTGATTCTTTTTTTTTCCCCTTGAGACACTACCTAAAAATCACGGACTCTTAAGTGCAATATCTGCATTACCAAGTAAATATATAAAAGTGATTTTCTTCTACCTAGAACGTGGAGTTTTCTTTAAAAAAATGAAAATTAATCCCCTTTTGGGCTGGAACTAACTAACGTTCTCAGCTTTTTGCATTTTCCCTCTTTTATTTATTTATTTATTTATTTTTCCCTCTTCTGTTTAAACTTCTTTTGGGAAACTTTGTGCTTCAACTTCATGTGCTGGAATTTCCTTGTTCATTTTGTCCTTTAAAAAAATTACTTAGACTATTAAAATTAAAAACAAAAACTTAAGTTTAAATCAAACATAAAAACTTTTTCTAATACACACACACAAAGTTTTGTTTATTAACTGTTTGCTTTGACTTTTCTCCGGTACATAAAAGATACAAAATGGAGAAAATACTGAGAGAAAAAAAGGATAAACAATTTTTCTCAAAAATTGTCATCCTTCAAACTTCTTTATCAAAATTAATGCGCCGCTGGTAGGGAAGAGATAAAGGTGACAACGACAAAGAAAGGAAAAGGAAATCGATCAATTAAATTCCTCACCATACTGTAATTATATAACCACATGGGTCATATCGACGTACGCACAACCAAATAATGAAATTTTATCTAGTGTATAATTCCTCTTTTTTCTGGAAAAAAAAAAAAGAGGAAAGTATAGAAGGACAAATAAGTTATCATATACTCTCACAAGTAATATTGAAATCCAATACATATCACACTAATTATTATTATTTTTTTTAAAAAAAAACCTTAAATCTTGACTGCACGTATATTGAGAAATGTCGTAATACCCTATAATTTTATCAACTTGACAGAAAAGACAGTAGTAATTTTTTGTTTTGCCTTCTCACTTAATCTCATACCTAAAAATATGGACTAATTTTTTATTGTTCCATCACATAAACAAGATGCGATAGCTGTACAAACAGCTTTCTACATCCATAAGGATAAGAAAAAGACAGTAACTATCTTTTTTGTTAATGCTAAGGATGGGTGGCCTTGCCAAGCCAGCCTTACAATCTGCCGTGTAATAAATATATCAACTGAATTATAAGTTATTTCATCCGGTTAGTTTTTTTAGAAAAACAAATTAATTAGTTTATTCTGTTTTAAAAATTAATTATTTAATTTTTTTTATCAATTTTATGTTCTTTAATTTGTTTTGTTTTTATTTAAAATAAACAAATAGATATTTTGAAAAATTACGAGGAAAAAAGATATTTTTAAAAAATAAAATAATATTAAATTAATATAGTTAATGTTGATAAAAAAAACTAAATAATCATTTTTTTTAAAAAAAATTAATTTATTTTTCAAAACTAAAAGAATTAATTTATAATGTACTCTAAATATATCACTTCATATAAGCTGATGATCTTTTCATCCGTTTCTTATGGATAGGATCATCCATGTGAAAATAAGGTCGTGGCAAGATTATTGCACCTAGAAATATCCTATTTTATATGTATACACACACACATTCAGCCTCTGATTTCTTTCCTAGAAGCACCGATACGTCAACTGATTTTACTTTTTCTCTCCCCCTGTCTTATACATTTTTTGTTATATATGCACCACGAGTCCCCTTATTTTCTAAGTAACATTATAAATCTTATTAAGGGTGGGAGTCACCAAACAGTAGCGGCTAGGAAAAAAAAAAGAAAGAAGGAAAAATGGTGGTTGCTGGCCCTGGTGGTGGTGGAGGTATCGGTGGTTTGGCTGACATGAAGGGCCTAACCGTGCAGGTCCTCACGGGCCGGTGGTTCATGGTTTTCGCATCATTTCTAATCATGTCAGCTGCCGGTGCAACCTATATGTTTGCACTCTACTCCCCTGACATAAAAGATGCCTTAGGTTATGATCAAAGCACCCTTAATTTGCTCAGCTTCTTCAAAGATGTAGGTTCCAATGTTGGTATCCTTTCTGGCTTAATCAATGAGGTCACTCCTCCATGGGTGGTTCTATCAATGGGGGCAGTCTTGAATTTTTTTGGTTACTTCATGATATGGCTTGCTGTGACCAAAAAAATTACTGGAGTCCAAGTGTGGCATATGTGCTTATACATATGTATAGGTGCAAATTCTCAATCTTTTGCCAACACTGGCTCTCTCGTTACTTGTGTCAAGAATTTCCCTGAAAGCCGTGGGAGTGTGCTTGGGATCTTGAAGGGTTATGTTGGTCTTAGTGGTGCAATTATAACTCAGTTATTCCATGCTTTTTACGGAGATGATTCAAAGGCTTTGATTTTGCTCATAGGTTGGCTTCCTGCTGCCATCTCTTTTGCCTTCTTGCGTACCATTCGAATCGTGAAGGTAACTCGCCACCCGAATGAGCTCAAAGTTTTTTACAATTTTCTCTATATTTCTCTTGGCCTTGCTGGGTTTTTGATGATCATGATCATCCTAGAGAAAACGCTTAATTTTACTCGAGGTGAATATGATGTCAGTGCTGCCATGGTGATTTTCTTGCTCTTTTTGCCAATTGCTGTTGTTATTGTAGAAGAATACAAGATTTGGCAGAGCAAAAAACAAGCCTTGAATGACCCTTCGCCACTGAATATTGTCACTGAAAAACCACCTCCAAGCCAAGAAATTCCTGCCCCGTCTCTGCCCCCACCATCTTCTTCTAGCGATCAAAAATTAGTCACCGCAGACAAGGACGACAATGTTTCTTGTTGGAAAACTGTTTTTAGACCACCAAATAGAGGAGATGATTTCACCATACTACAAGCTCTTTTTAGCATCGACATGCTCGTCCTCTTCTTTGCCACAATTTGTGGTGTTGGTGGCACATTAACGGCTATAGACAACTTGGGTCAGATTGGAACTTCTCTAGGGTACCCTAAAAAAAGCACAAGCACTTTTGTGTCATTGGTGAGCATCTGGAATTATCTTGGTCGAGTTGTTGCCGGTTTTGGCTCTGAACATGCTTTGAAAAAGTACAAATTTCCTCGTCCTGTGATGCTCACTCTAACCCTCCTACTTTCCTGCGTTGGTCACCTCCTAATTGCCTTCAATGTTCCTGGTGGTCTTTATGTGGCCTCGGTAATCATTGGTTTTTGTTTTGGTGCTCAATGGCCATTACTCTTTGCCATCATCTCAGAACTATTTGGGCTCAAGTACTACGCTACTCTCTACAATTTTGGGGCTGTGGCTAGTCCTGTTGGGTTATATCTACTCAACGTGAAACTCACAGGCCATTTATATGATAAAGAGGCTAGAAAGCAATTGGCAGCAAAGGGACTCAAAAGAAAGCATGGTGACGCCCTAGATTGCATTGGCACCGATTGCTTCAGGCTGTCCTTTATTATTATTACAGCTGCAACGTTGTTTGGTACCATTGTTTCATTAATTTTGGTGCACAGGACTAAAAAGTTCTATAGAAGTGACATCTACAAGAAGTTCCGAGAGGCGGCACAGGAAACCGAGACTGAAATGGCAGTGACCGGAAATGGTGTCGGACCGACAGAAACAAAGAATGGATAGGGATTTTAGTTATTGGCTTCAACAATTAATGAAGAAAAGGACTTTATAGTAAAAGAAAAAAGAAAGTTTAGACTGTATACAGGTAAATGGGTGATAAGTCCCATCCATGAATTGTAACACCACTCGTTAATTTATGATCGTGGTATTACATATATCTTACTTGGTAAGTGTGTTGCTTCTTGGCTTCGCTAATCACTAAAACGAAGTCTTTGTCCCTTTCTTTATGGCTCCCAAACACGACCGCAACTCTAGAAAAGGACCATTTCTTTCTTGCTATTGTGTGAAGCCAGTTGTCCCTTTGGATATTCATTATCGGCATCGGATTTACTGTTTTTTTTTTCTCATTGAAAAGTTTATGGATTTTAGACTATATTAGAAAGATAGTTTTCTTTTATTATATAATTATTAAATAAATTAAAATTATTAAGATTCGAATCTGTTTTATTAAAAAAAAGCTATCAAATATATATATTTATGTTAGGTTATGCTTTTTGTATATATATATTTACTTAATTTATTTATTGATGGGGTAAATTCAAAAATATTCTCTCTTACTACGTAAAGAAAGATCTAAGAGTATGGCTTTATGATCCCTATAAGAATCGAATTACTCCTTGGCCAACATTTAGTTTCCTTGTATATAAAAAAAAAAATAGATAACAACATAAACGGGAAAACAAAACTTAGTTATCAAGTTGAGATATACAGTTGTGTTTCTTGTGGCAACAAAGTAGATTCTGATTCTTAGTCACTAATGCATGGCAACTAGATAACAAGGACAAGTTTTACGTTTCCTTGTTTCACTATGCCATTTGGTGAAGAAGAAAATAGAATAGAGGTTTCGAATTTCACAAGGAAATTGAGTTTAAATTTATGCATGATTCCTTAGGTGTGACAGCCATTATTCCTAAATTTATTCCCTTTTCATTGGGTTTATTTTTTCAAGAAAAGGTTTAAAAGCATCCAATTGTCTTTCATTTTCATCGTTTTGACAGATTGGAGGATGAAGAGGAGAAACCATCAAGATTCCAAAAAATGATCCCAAAGTTGCCAACCCGCTTTGTCACCATGTATTTGTATTCATTTCTTTAAAGTATAAATACAAATCAACCAATGTAGATATCTCCATCCGAGCTTGCTATATCTGCTGTTCAAGGAATTTGATATATATATATATATATATATGATATATATATATATATATATCAAATTCCTTGAACAGCAGATATAGCAAGCTCGGATGGAGATATCTACATTGGTTGATTTGTATTATATATACATATATAGTACCAAATTTGTTCGGTAGCATTTGTAGTTTTAATTCCACTGGATGTCGTTTAATTATCATCTGCATTTTGCATTGCCATTTTATGCTAACCCAACTTGGCTTGCCAGCAATCAAATATCTCATGTCTCTCAAACTGATTTATGCCCTCACTTACAGCCACATTTCTAACTTCTTGCCCCAAATGCATCTCTGACAATAACTTTACTGTCGAATAGGTATTATGTTCAAAATAATTATAAAAATATATTTAAAAACAATTATATAAATATATTTTAAAATAAGAATTCATCATATAAATTATATTAGTATATTTAAAAAGAATAAAATAATCATATTCTAAAATTTTATTCAACAATCTATATTTAGAGAAAAATAAATCATATTTATTAATTAATAATATTATATGAAAAATAAAAAATTAATTTGATGTGAATTTATATATATATAAAAAAAGACAAATTGAAAAAATCAATTTAAAAAAATAAAAACACTCGTTCATTTTAAAATTTAAAAACATATTATATATATTTGGACAATAAAAAAGCATAATGATTGATTTCTATAGTTATGGTACCTAATTCAATAATAAATACTATAATCCGATATATATGTTCATTTTAAAATTTTAAAATATGTCATATATATTTCATTACAATAGCTTGTGAAGAAAACTTAAAAAACAAAATGATTGGTTTTTTATAATTTTTTTGCACTTAATTCAATAATAAAAAAATTAAAACAAAATTCTATAAATAAACAAAAGCAATAATAATAATAATCATCATAATAAAAGCAAAGCAAGCTTGCGGCCTTGGGCTTGAAGAAGCATGCTTGTGCACTTGGGCCTGCAGAAGTAGACACGTGAGCAACACTAAAAAAATCCAATTTATGCATAATAAAAGTTCTGAAAATCAATTTAACTTCTATCTTAATATGAAAAAAAAACACATAAAGGTTTAATCTAAAAAAATATATATAATGATGGATTAGAAAATATATTGAATATTAAATAAAATTTATAAAGAAAAAATGACAATAATAGCGTCCTTGGTATTAAAAAAAAAAGAGCAATAAAAAGATAATATTTATAGTGATTAATTTATACTATAAAAAAAATTCTCTTGACGTTACAGTTTTGATAGTTATAAGATTTCGTGTTTGAGAATAATATAATTGATTTGATTTTTAATTAAATACTAACTTTGATATTATCAAATCAGATAACTTCAGTTTTATTATAGGAGTCTGTGTTTAAAAATAATACTTATGTGGAATTTATATTTAAAAATAATACTTATGTAATTAATTTGATTTTTAAACAAATATTAATACTAATTTATCTAAACTTGTCATTATCCCACTCAGAAGAAAAAAAAAAAATCTCTCACAAATCCGAGGTTAGGAGCACAAGAATTAAGATAAAAACCCCAGTCTTAGAAACTCTAGGGAAAAAAATAAATCCATAAAATTTATCAAAAAAGCTTGAGATTTAAACCACTCCCCTCCCCCACCACTGCCGCCGCTGCCGACACACACAAACACAAGCACACATATATATCTTTGACTCTCTGAATCCTACCATAAGCAAGCTGAGAACTTTGACCATTATGATGTATCCACTACCATTGTTGGGCGGATCCAGAAATTAAGAGTGGAAACAGGGGATGATAAAGAACAAAGAATTATCATCTTCTAGAGTAAACAATACTGGGGTTGATGTGTATTTGTGTTGGCTAGACAGCTAGACCTACGACTCTGAATCCTCTAATCATTCGTTCAAGAGATGATCACAAGAAAGATTTTCTTTTTAACAAATATCAAATTGCGTATAAATGATTTGTCTGAATAAAATAAGATTTCAACTTATCTGAAAACACACGAAAACTGATTTTTCAGACTACGACTATAAGAATAAAAATGTCAAAAACACATTCTCCTGTCATATTTATAGGTCTCTGGGCATGAAGTGAAGAATATCATTTTTTTTTATATACCAAAAAATCTAGAACTCCAACCCATTTCACTTGAGAAAATTAGTAAAACTTGTTTTACACCCAAAAAAAAAATTACTAGAGGTCGAGCTTTAAGTCACTGATGATAAATGGGCCTGGATTGTAACAAGGCTTGCAAAATTTATGCTGGCCGAATACGAGAGGCCCAAGTAGATTCCTAGTTTGATAAGCAAGAGTATAGTTTTATTGTTTTTTTTTTTTTTTCTATTTTAAATTCATTACTGCATATTTCTCCTTTAGAACTTTTCCTATTCTGTTTTGTACTAAGTCCATCACGTATTTAATAAGCTTACATGAACCCTATTTATTCTTACAGTTCCGTTCACTTCACATCCCTTGACAAAGAGGCAAAAGAAAAAGGTCCGTTCTTTTCTCTTATATATTATGTTCACTACGAATAAAATGTTTGTATACTATAATATTTCAGTATCAACTTAATTATTTGCAAAAAAAAAATTATCATAATAATGGCAAGCTCATGTCCAGTTTGTCTTTAAAAAAAAAACGTATATGTTCATATTAACAATTAAAAATCCCATTGGTTTTTGTATTATTATTATTATTTTGAAATCATGATTTATATATATATATATATATATCAACAATGTTAGGAGTAGGAGCCATTATTTTTATATTTGCCGATGGAAAAAAAAAAGAAGAAAAAAGAGAAACAATATGAGTATCCTATCCCAAGAATTTGGTGTACTTATGATATTTTTTTTATACACTTCTATAAAATATTTAATACAGGTATATTTTCATTGAAAGTTTCCAATGACGAAAATAGTGGTGAAGCTGGAAAAATTCTGCGGTTGTATTGGATGTTGGCTTAAAGTAAAGAACATTTTATCCGAGACCAAAGGTTAATTTTTCATTCATCTTTTTTTTTTTTTTTTTTTGATAACCTTGAATACGAGGTCTATTTTTTTTTTTTTTAATCTTACAGGAATTGAAACCAAAATAATAGATAAACAGGAATGCCTTCTAACTATGACAGGCACCATGGACACTAAAGTCATGGTGGCCAAATTGGCTAAGATGAGAAAAGATCTTCAGGTTGAGATTGTGCACCTAGATGATGGGAAAAAGGAGGAAAAAGAAGAAGCTGCCAACACTACAAATTCCTCTACAGAGAAGAAGCCGAGAGAGGAAGTTGACACCAAAAGTTCCTTATCAGCAGAGAAGCCGAAGGAGACAATTCCCTCCAAGCCCAAGGAAGCAGAAGGTGCTAAGCCCATGAGTGAAGATAGGTTGGAAAATGGGCCTACTATAGGATATGATTATGGTCATGGATCCAATTATGCTTATGGGAATGGGCCTTATAACTATCCACAAGGCTGTAGTGAATCAAATAATCAAGGAAAAGCCTATGCAGCACAATACGTGATTGATGAGGAAAAAAAAACAAGGAAAATTGCATGCCCTGTTTTGTGAAATTCTTTTTTTGACTAGAATGAGAAATCAGGAGAGTGCTAGTTTTTTTTTTTTTTTTAATTTAGATATTAGAATGAGATAAAGTCATTTTTTTATCGAATAAATTAAATATTATGGATGATGGTTGTTTTAATTAATCAAAAGTCCTTATACTTTGTATCTTGATATTTCAACGTTCTTATTTATTGTTAGTTGTCGTATTTTTTTTTACTTAACTTTTAACTGAAGGTTAGATAATATCTTCAAACCAAATTGATTTTATAATATTAAATTATATTTTTTATTTAGTGAAAAATAAGCAAAAAAAATAGCTTATTCATGAAAAATCATATTCTCAACTTGGCTTAGGAGTTAAATCCATAGGATACAAACAAATCTATTCATGCATCCATATCCCACTTTTTTATTGAAGCTAGCGTAGAAAATGAGTAAATTATAAATTAGTCTCTTTATTTTTTAAAAATAATTTAAACATTTTTTTTTAGTTTTAAAAATTAATTAATTAATATCTATAGTTGAACTCAATTCTGTTGCTCTAACTTACTCCATATAAAACATGATTCTCAAAAATAAAATAAAAAGCATGGGTGTGGCGCATGATGTAATTTTTGAGATGGAGCCCATGAGCCCATGTTTACACGTTTTTATTCCTATTTTGCTCATGACAAAAAATGGTAAAAAATGAAAATGAAGAACAACACACCTGAAATGAAGGTTGTTATTGTAAATTCATAAAATATTCCTTCCGGCAATTGTGACTGCTAGAGCTCACTTACTTTCTCATGGACCAAACAAGCCAATACCATCGGAACCCAAACGGTCTCCTCTCTCTGTCTTTCTTTCCTTTATTTAAATACTTTTTTCTGTATTTATTTATTCTTAAAAAAAAAAAAAACAAGAACAAAACCCCCAGTCACTGACATTGTCGCGGCAAAATGTCATCGAAGGGGAAGGGGAAGGCGGTCGCCACTGGCGGAGGAAAACGGAAACATGGCGGTGGTGGTTCTGGTGACGACGACAAGACCGGTGGTGGAAAAAGAAGAGGAACCGTGCGGTTCTTCAGTTCTTCGAAGACGCAGCTGATGTTGGCGATTACGAGAGTGATGATAGTGATCTTAATTTTGATATCGAAGGTATAAAAAATATCATTTTCGGTTTTTATTTTTGTGGTTTTTTGGGATTTCTTTTTTTTTTTTTGAAGTTTTCTAGGGTTTTGAGCTAGTAAGATGGTGGCCTTTTTTATTTTTGACGTTTGAAATTTTAGGGTTTTGACTGAAATGAGACTGATACTAGCGATTCTGGCGATGTCTTTTATTTTTTATTATTTTGTTTGGGTGGTGCATTGTTGGGTTGTTTTATTTTTTATTTTTAGTTTTGAGTTTTCTGTGAAGTTTAGGATTTTGAGTGGAAATGTGTGCTATAGTAACGATTTTGAGATGGTATGGTGGCGTGTTTTACTTTTATTTTCGTTTCTTGTCTAGTTTTGGTGCTGCATGTTGTATGATTAGGTTTTGTTTGAGTCTTCTGTAAGATTTTTCTAGTTTAGGGATTTCTAAAGAACTTTTGTGGAGGCCTTTTTACCTGTTTACAGAAAATGGCAATTGCCTGTGTTCGTACAAGTGCATATGTGAAGTTGTGTTTCTGCTTCTTGTGCCATAAAAATATTCATTGATGGAATTGGAGTATCTAGTTGTGGGGACTTAGACGGATTCCCTTAATTTTGGTGCAGATTCACTGGAAATTTTAAAGAATTAGGATTTGGGAAATTAATTTTACAGCAGATTCATCAGAAAGATGGAAGCAATTAGGATTTGTTTTGCATTCCAGAGGTTCATTTTGAGATTATTGTGCGCAAACTGATTAGTTTTTTCTTTTAATGGTTTTGAATTTTGATCTAAACAGAATGCCTTTGTATAGTTTTTTTTTACTTTTTCGGGGTCATAGTTAGACCATGTTCCTTTCCTTTTTTCAATGATACAATATTATCCAGGTTCCCTTGCTTCTCTGCCTTGGATCTGGAAGCTTATCTGTACTAACCTTAATTGTCTCATAATTGTGGAGAACAGATTTTATGGATGAAGAATATGATGTAGAGCTGAAAGTCAAGAATGATCCACCGAAATCCCAAGGCTTTCCAATTGTTCCCAAAGAGGAGGTGATGGATGAGGAAGAATTTGATAAGATGATGGAAGAGCGTTACAAGAACAATCCTAGATTTCGCTATGCTGAAGATGCTGATGAGGCTAAAACATCCATGGAAAGAAATTCTCTTCATTCTTCTGCAAAGGATCCAACTATCTGGAAAGTCAAATGCATGGTAGGATGTTCATCACATAGGCGAATGGCTCGGCTCTTGCCATTATATTTTCAATTGCATTTCTTAGCATACTCCTGTCATTGGCTTTACATGTTCACAGTCATCAACTGGAACTTCGTGGTTGTAGGTTGGACGCGAGAGGCATTCAGCTTTTTGCCTCATGCAGAAGTTTGTTGACTTGAAATCTCTGGGTGCCAAACTGCAGATAATATCTGCATTTGCCATTGATCATGTAAAGGGTTTTATTTATATTGAAGCTGACAAGCAAATTGATATTATTGAGGTAGCACATTTTTTATCACTGAATAAGGAATTAGGGATTTGTTATTTTCAGTGTTAGGGAATTTGCTCTTTATCATTTTTGGGTTATTTTTATCAGTGAGCTAATACTTTGCTGTTTATCTTTTCATAATTCTGATTTTAGGCATGTAAAGGGCTCTGTAGCATATATTCTAGCAGAGTGGCACCGGTTCCTAAAAATGAAGTTTCTCATCTGCTCTCCATCCGAAAAAGTTGTAATCAAGTTACTGAGGGCATGTGGGCTCGTGTAAAGAATGGGAACTATAAGGGGGACCTGGCACAGGTGCAGTACAATTGAGCTTGTTGGCTGATTTCTTGCTTTGTTATGAAATCTAATCTGTCTTTACTCTGCATTACTTTTGTTTGTGTAGATTGTGGCTGTAAATGATGTGCGGAAAAGAGCAACAGTCAAGCTGATTCCAAGAATTGATATGCAAGCATTGGCACAAAAATTTGTAAGGAGACTTTTAATAGTGGAACTTTTATCCTCTGCTTCTAATATAGTTTTGAATTTTGTTTTGGGTCTTCAAGGTCAATGACAGTTTCCTGCATTTTGTCCCAATGCTAAAATAGACGTACGTTGATTACATGGTAGTTTGAAAGTGGTTTCTTTGGCTTCAAATTTGTAAGGAGACTATTAACAGCTAACACACACACATCCATATATTCAATTCTGTTATCTGTTATGAAGACATTGTTTTCAAATAATAAAATGCACATGGTGACAAGTTTGATGCTTTGTTTGTGATTTATTTGAAAAGCACTACTTAATCAATTTGCTTCACAGGGAGGAGGACTTGCAAACAAGAAAGCTGCTATACCAGCCCCAAGATTAATCAGCTCAAGTGAACTTGAGTAATATCCATGTTACATGTATTTTAGTTCATTTAACTTCTAGCGTCATGACTTTTGATATGCAATTATATTTGACTTGTATAGGGAGTTCCGGCCTCTTATTCAATATAGACGTGACCGTGATACTGGCAAGATGTTTGAGGTCCTTGATGGCTTGATGCTCAAGGATGGATATTTATATAAAAGAGTATCTATAGATTCTTTAAGCTGCTTGGGCGTTAAGCCTTCGGAAGACGAGCTGTTGAAGTTCAAGCCTTCTGAGAATAATGAATCAGAGAATTCAGAATGGCTTGCGCAGATATATGTTGGACCAAAGAAAAAACGGATAATTGGAAATGAGAAAGCTGGTGGTGATAAAGGAGAGAGCTCGTCAGCATCTGGCCATAATAGATTTGAACTGTATGATCTTGTGTGTTTCGGGTAAGTTCACCAATTAGTGGTATTTTGTGATCTAATTATATGTATTTAACTTCTTTGATCACATATTATTGGCTTGCAGCCGCAAAGATTTTGGTCTTATTGTTGGTATGGAGAAAGATGACTTTTACAAGGTATGGAACCTTGTTTACTTGCTTTGTAGCTTTGCTGTTGACTATTTAACTTCCTTCGATGTTCAATGTAAAGGCTAGAATTCTTCATAAGTTTTCCAGTGCTTCAGATTCTAAAACATGGACCGGAAAAACCTGATGTGGTGACTGTTGCATTACGTGATCTAAAGAATGGGCCCACTGATATGAAGTTTACTGCTTTAGATCATCACAAGAAAACCATATCAGTTAATGATACTGTCAAGGTTTTGGAAGGTCCATTGAAGGTTTGGCGCTGATTTCCCTTTTTCCTTCTTCTGTTTCTTTTTCTTTCAATTTCTGAAGCAAATATGCTATGCTAGGGTTGAAGCTATCATGCAAGTTGCTTTTTGCAGGATCGGCAAGGAATTGCTAAGCAAATCTACAGAGGCATCATATTTATATATGATCAGAATGAAACAGAAGACGGCGGCTATTTGTGTTCAAAAGCTCAAATGTGTGAGAAAATCAAGCTTTCATTTGATGCTTTCTGTGGAAAGGTTGTACATTTTGAAAAGAGCAATCACATCATTTTGTCTATACCATTCTTTTACCTCAAATTGTTTCTGGTACTTTGAATGATGATCTCTTTGCTCTCATTTCAGGATGGTGAATCAGGCTCTTTAGGTTTTGAAGATTTCCCATCATCTCCCAAATCCCCCTCATCACCTAAAAGACCATGGCAGGCGAGAGAAAACAACCGTGACTGTATGTATTATAATTGTGCTCTTTGTAATTTTGTAATTCTATTTTCAGTTTTGACTCGGATGTTAAGTTTCTCTCACTGACTTCATTTTTTCTCTGCAGTCAACCAAAGGGACAAGGATGGATTGTTCTTCATTGGTCAAACCTTGAGGATCCGAGTAGGACCTTTGAAAGGGTATCTATGCCAGGTCCTGGCCATACGCTATTCTGATGTTACCGTGAAGCTTGCTTCTAAGCAGAAAGTTCTCACAGGTTCATAAGAAAAAAGTTGGTTTTGGTTCTGCTTGATTTTGAGTTTATCAATTTTCTAATGTTTTCTGGTCAATGTTCCTGAAGTTAAAAGCGAGCATCTGTCCGAGGTTCGTGCGAAGAGCTCTGCCGTGTCTGTAAGGTATATATTTATAGCTAAATCCCATTTGTCCCAGCTTGTTTCCTAAGCATGATTTGGATAGCCTTTTGAAGTTGCTCTGACTTGGTACTTTTCTATTTATGAAAGTGATGATCCGGGATCCAATTCTTTCAAACCATTTGATCTACTTGGAACTGATGGTGGCTCTGGAGGTGGGAATTCGATTACTCTCAGAATATAAAATATTTCTGATGATATTTTTGCTGTATTGTCTTTTGTTATCTATTTCAACATAGCACGGTATTTATGCGGTGCTCAATTTTGTTCCTAATAAGTGTTTTTTTTTATATAGTATCTTCATATTTCTCATTTGTTTATGACATGATATCTGAGATGGTTGTTTTCCTTTTTTATGTTGTTTGTCTTGAAGGTTGGACGGGTGGAGCTGGGACATCAGCAGAGGGTGATGGCTGGAACACTGGTGGCCTCACCACTGAAAGGTTTTCCTTTTCTTTTTAATGTCAAAGTTCTGTTCATGCACTTGCTGGTAATGTATGCTTAAAAGTAGTTATTGGTTCTGTCCTCATAATTCATAGCGGGCTGAAAACTATGAATGGGATATGATTGTTAAATTTAGCGCCAGTCATGTTGCTAATAATTGTCATATTTGCAATTAATTATTTTTAGGTTTGCATGTAGTTTGGAGTCTCTATTTGGCTTTTGTTGTTCTTGCCTGATGCCTGGTGGCAGAAATTTGCTGTGCATTGTCATTGGCTGGATCGTGACATGGTGTTTGGTGAGATAATGCAAAGATCATTTATGTTGAGTAAGAAAACAGATATCATCTCGAAATAAATTCCCGGATCACCATGCTATATGGCACCAACAAAGGAATGATCACTGAAAGTGGTCATTGAAACATGGTGATGAGCCGCTTGTGCAGTGTTTTAAGGCCACATCACAATGCGTATTTACTGTAATCTAAATGGAAAACTGTTATTCTGTTGAAATTTGTGCAATTCTTTATGTTTGCTTGGGTGGTGGGAATGGGTAAATGAGTGGCGAATCCTGCTGTTTTGATTACGGTCTAATCAGTTTGTGAGTATGATTAGTGTGCTTGTGATTGTTGATGCAAAATGCAAATATGAAGCTAAGCCTGTGAGGTTACAATTGGAAGATCTGAATTTTGTTGATTTATGGAATTTGTGTTTGAATTGAATTTATTGAATTAAATTATCAAACGAAGCAATGGCTCAGGACCGCATGCTGCTCAATTTGGAAAATAGTCAACATCTCTCGGACTTTCAGATTTCTGTACATGTAGCTTAAATATAGCATTGTTCTTTTTTCTGCTCATTACTTTTCTTTTTGATTTGTACTTTTGTTTATAATCTGATGTTGTAAGCATTTTCTTGAAGGACTTCTTGGCCTAGCTCGGGTGCCACGGTTAGTGAAGTCTCTCTCTCTCTCTCTCCTCTCTCTCTACACCACCCAAACAACAGCATTTTAATTTCCAATAATTATTAGCGTTAAGAAATATGTTGAAGTTATGAACCTGAGTTTTCTGTTTACTGCAGCTTCAACCCGAAATCAACCCTGTAAATCCATCAAGTTCTGCAGATAACGAACTAAATAAAGGTATGTAATATTCCTCTTGTTGGCAGTCAAACCATTCCTTATTTTGGTCTCAGAAGCACCAATCTACTTGATGAATTTATACATTAAGAAATATCTTATGTAATGAATGTATCAAAAGTGCTAAAGTGGGCTAGTCTGCATATTTTGGAATGTGCAGATGATGCTTGGGGGAGTCGAGCAACAGCAAATCAGAGTTCATCTTGGGGTGCAGCTGCAGCTGATTCGTGGAACAAAGCTGCTTCTAACATTGGTTCTAGCAGTGGTGCATCTGTCGGCTGGGGTAAAGCAACTTTACCCAATGAAGATCCGGCAGGCTTTTCAAGAGGTTCTGGAGACAACTGGGGTCAAGGAAACCTCCGAGCTGAAAAGTCTTTGATTGATGCTGGAACTGCTTGGGAGAAAGGAAAGACTGTCATTGAAAACCAAACCAGCAGTTGGGGTGATGCAGCTACTGGAAAGAATCAAGTGGATTCTTGGGGAAAGGGTAATGATGCAGTTGAAGCAGGATCCTGGGAGAAGAATAAAAGCTCTGGCACAGAAGAGGACAGCTGGGGTAACAAGAGTACTGGGAATGAACAGAAATCGCAAGATGGAGACACTTGGGGTAAAGCTGCAGAAAACCAAGAGAAGGGCACTGCTCAAAATGGTTCCTGGGGCAAAGCTGCAGAGAAGTGGGAAAGCAAAAATGGCTCAGAAAAGGCAACTGAGAGTTGGGGTAAGGCAGGTGGGAGCAGCACTCAACCAATAACTGAAGATGCTGATAAAGGAAGTGGCTGGATGAAAGCCGAAGTTGATGGTGCAAGTCAAACTGCAAATTGGGGTACTGGGAAAATTTTTAGTGAAGATGCAACTGTATGGAATAAAGATGGATCTAATAACCAGAATCAGAGTGATAACTGGAATAAACCAAAGGCCTTTGGTGCTGATAGGGGATCTTGGAATAAACATGGAGAATCATCTTGGGGTAAACAAGAAGGGGGGTCTTCTGGGAATAGACCAGACAGAGATCAAGAGTTCTGTGGTTGGAACAAGACATCTGATGGGGGTCGTGGGTCAGGTGGGGGGAGGGGACGAGGAGGTGGTCGTGGTGGTAGGGATCCGTTTGGCCAAAGAAGATCCTTTGGTGATGGTCAGTCTTCAGGTTGGAATGGTGGAGAAAGCAATTCAACTGGCAACGAACAAGGAGGTGGCTGGGGTAAATCCAAGGGGTTTGAGGAAAGTAGGGAGGGTGGATGGAAGTCTGTTTCCTCTTGGGGAGATAGTGGATCAGGTTGGAACAAGAGCTGGGGAGCAGATAAGGAGACTGGTGGAAGTGGGGACAAATGGAACAGTGAAAAGCCTACTTTTGGGAACAAATCAAGTTGGAACAGTGACCAAGCTGAATGTCACAACGGGAGCAAAGGTTTCACTGCTCATATATCTTCAGGAGGGCAAAATGAAGCTGCTAGTTGGAATGCACCCAAGTCAGATGGCGGGCCATCTTCTGGATGGAAGAATGGTTCTGCTGCGGATGAAGTACCAGGTGGAAGTTGGGGTGGAGGAAGCAACTGGAACACAGGGAAAGCTTCAACTGATGACAATACAACTGGATGGAAAAGTGGAACAAGTGGGAGTGGCACCCAGCAGTCTGACTGGGGTACTCCAAACGCTTCCAAGGGAGACCAGTCATCAAGCTGGGATACTAAAGCTGGTCATGTAGATGCTAACCAATCATCTGGTTGGGGTAATAAAAGTGGTTGGGTTACTCCTAATTCTTCTCAAGAAAAACCTGGTTGGAATCAGAAATCTCCTGAACTTGAAAAGGACAGCAAGAGAGATGGAAACCAGAATTCTAGCTGGGGCAAGAAAAGCGATTGGAATTCTGGATCAAGTGACGCAGGAGGAAATGCTGACTCTTCTTGGGGCAAGAAGAGCAACTGGAACTCTGAATCCAATAATGCTGATGGAAATCAAGATTCTGGTTGGGCCAACAAAAGCAACTGGAACTCTGGGTCCAAAGATGCCAACCAAGGTTCTAGTTGGGCTAAGAAAACTAATTGGAACTCTGGATCTAGTGGTGCGAACCAAGATTCTGGCTGGGGCAAGAAATCTAATTGGAGCTCTGGATATGGTGATGGTAACCCGGATTCTTCTGTAGCCTGTGATGGTGAAGGCCAGTCTGAGACCTATGGTAACAGGGCTGGTGGTGGGAGTTGGAGAGGTGCTTTTAGTGGTAGGGGTGGTTCAGACAGAGGTGGCTTCAGAGGTAGAGGCGATAGAGGAGGCTTTGGTGGTAGAAATGGTTCGGACAGAGGAGGTTATGGAGGTAGAGGCAGATCCGACAGAGGTGGTTCAGACAGAGGGGGATTTAGAGGTAGAGGGGATAGAGGAGGCTTTGGTGGTAGAGGCAGAGGAAGGAGGGATCAAAATGGTGGTTGGAGTGATAACAATTCTGCTGAAGATAAGACCTTTGACTGGAAGAATGGGTCAAACAACAGCAGTAGAGGATGGAAAAATAATGATAGTGGAAGTAGTTGGAACCAAGGAGGTGGTAGCAGTGGAGGATGGAAAAATAATGATGGTGGAAGTAGTTGGGGCCAAGGAGGTGGCAACAAGGGCCAACAGAATAGCTGGAATTCCGGAAGTGATGGAACAAGCAATCAAGCTGGTGGTTGGACTAGCCAAGGTTCAGACTGGAACCAGTCAAGAATGGCAAAAGATAGTGGTAGTAATGACCTTGCTGGTGGTTGGAACAAGGAAACTGGTGCAAATAGTGGAGCCTGGGGTCAAGTAAACAGCTGGAGGTCATCAAATTCTTCTGGCGAGGGCTGGAAAAAAGGATCTGATGATCAAGGGGGTAGCTGGAACAAAGGATCTGGTTCTGGCGCTCAAGGTGGTGGTTGGGGGAACAAAGGAGCAGGTTCAGGTGATGCAGGGGCAGCTGGAATTGATGCTAAGACCTGGAATCCGTCTAGTGCATCTGGCGGAGGCCAATCATCTGGTTGGAGTCGATCAACAGAGGCAAAAGAAGGAACTAATGCAGGTGGGGAACCAACTGTTCCATGGGGTAAAGCATCAACAAGTTCTTGGAATCAATCAAGCAAAGACATTAAAGGTTCTGATGATCAAGGGAGTGGCTGGAACAAAGGTCCTGGTTCTGGCGCTCAAGGTGGTAGTTTGGGGAACAAAGGAGCAGGTTTGGGAAATGCTGGGACAACTGGAGGTGACGCGAAGACCTGGAATCAATATAGTGCTTCTGGTGGAGGAGGCCAATCCTCTGGTTGGAGTAAATCAAGAGAGGCAAAAGAAGGAACCAATGCAAGTGGGGAACCAACCGATCCATGGGTTAAAGCATCAGCAAGTTCTTGGGGAAACAAAGGGGATGATGGAAGTAGCAAAGGAGGGTGGTAATTGCTTTGCAAATTAGCCATGGTATTTAGTTTTTTGCAGTTTAATGGACCTGTATATATTAACTTATTATCTTATTTACAATTAGGAAGGATCTAACAGCAGTATCTTATCATGAAACTCTGCACTAGTCTCATATTTCTGTTTCCTTGACATTTTGAACTCTGGTACTCCCGATTCCCAAAAGGAGCTGCTCTTGGAGCATTGTTCATGGAAACAGTTTCTATTTTATGACTATGTACAGACGAGGCTAAGTTAGCCTGTGCTTGAGCATTATTTCTGGTAGTTGTATCTCGTGAATGTTAGTTCCCTCTTGCCAGAATATGCCTTCTAGGTTTCCGTCATAAAATTGTATTGGTGTACGTGTTTGTCTTGAAACTTTAGCTTGTCTAATTCAATGGACTCAAAAACAGGTTCTGTGAAGAATGTGTCCAAGAAAGAAACTACGCAGGCAGGTTTCAGCTATAGGAAGATGGAGCACTCACTGTTGTCCAAAGCTTCAATCTGCTAACAGTGCACATTATATTGCATTGACATTGCGAGCTTGATCTGCAATTACGGAAAATGCAATGACTTAGAACACAGAATTTTGTTATTGTTAGTAATGTTTGAAAGTTCAGTTTAATTTTATTACTGATGATAAACTTGTATTATGAGGAACGCTTGCAAAGAAGGAAGGTTTCGAGCAGGAAGAGGGGGCGCTATTGTTCATCCATGTAGAAGCCACCAAAATGGACATCACCTTTGTAGCTTTCTTCTCCTGCAAACAATACACGTTGCCTTCCTAACCCATGACCACGAGGGTTGGTGTAGTGGTGGAGCTATCCAACTGAGATTTGGCTGGATAGCCCCTTAGGTAATGGGTGGTAATTCGTTTAAATGTCATTTCTTTGGTCAGTACCCACTATTTAATTAAATTTTGTTTTCTGTAACCTATATGAACAATTAGCCGTCTTAGCTCAGCCGGTAGAGCGCATGGCTTTTAACCATGTGGTCGTGGGTTCGATTCCCACAGACGGCGGTTTTACATATGACCTCTCATATTCGATTTTCATATTTCAGTTTCTGGTATGTAGGCGTGTTTTTCCCCAATTGAGGTACTCTAAAATCCTATTTACAAAAACGAGATACTTTAATTTTTTTTTTTTTTAGCCATACGTCTACAAATTAACATGTCTGACTTTCCTTCTGTTTTTCATTATCTTTTCTTTGCTTCTTGGTTTCACCTGCCTTCTGTTTATACAAAATACACTTGAATATATGAAGACTTTTTTGATAAAACACAAAGAAGCAATAACCAAAAAGGCAGAAAGATCAAGATAATAAATAAATAAAGAGCATTATTTCATCAAAGTTTGTAGCATTTAAAGTTTTTATGATTTTGGATTGAGGTTTAAATTTAATAGCATCAAGATTGTTCTTTTTTCAAAATTCAAATTAGTGAAATATAATGTAGAGAGAGGTTTTATAGGTTCTCTTAATTATTTTTTACATGATATGAAATTTATTTTGAAAAAGAAATGACGTGAATCTTTCATGTGGTGCTTACATAGCATCAAATGTATTATTTTAAAAAATAAGATTAAAACTATATCTCGAGAAATAAGATTTGAAAGTAGATTAGGATTGGGAAAAAATTCACAATATAGTCTCTCTCTTTCTCTCTCTCTCTCTCTCTGACATAGAGATTCTTAAAGAAAGTTAAAATGTGAAAGGACGGTTTGGCGGTTTGGCAATTTTGTCGGACAACAAGACAACCCACGTTAACGACATTAATAATTCATGAAAATAACACAGAACAAGGAAAAATAATTGGACAAAAGAACTTGCAAAAATATTCTGAAATTGACATTAGATCCGAAACGCCACCTCAGCCACCCACATCCTATCCATCCCTTACCATAATTTCCTCTCCAAAACTTGTACTTTTGAAAGAAGAGAAGGGACTGATCAACAAACATAATTTGTGTTCTTTCCTTCTTGACCCTACAAATCACTGATATTTTGATGTTATATTTATATTTACAATTGAAATAATCAGTGGGGCTTGCAATGGAATCAAACTAATTGTGATGATATTTTTCTTTTCCATCTACATCTTAATATTTAAGATGAATATATTTTTTTCCTTTCAATTTATACTTCTATAATGATAATAATGGGAAAGATAACAAGGCACCATGGTTGGTGATAGTGCACAAAATTAAAATAATTAGAAGAGACAAAAAGATTAAGCTAGTAGATGTGGGTGGTGGGGGAGGTGGAGCGCTGCTGCCGAATATCATTCCGAAGTAGTCGCCATCACTGCCGCTGGCCCCGGACCCCTGACCACCGCCTGTGGTGGTTGTGGCGCTGGTCCCACCTCCATTGAATCCCGGATTAGAAATGCCCCCACTATCATCTCTGTGCAAATGATTGAAAACGAACTAGTGAATACATTATCGTAAAGACCAAATGATGACATGATTTAACAGAAAATGATGCTCGTTAAAGAATCTTGTAGTAGATACATTTCTATAAAATCCAGGCTACAGACCCCCAAAGAATACGTTAGGTGGCCCTAATCCTTAATGGCTTAAAAGATTGGTGCCCAGATCGGTGCAAGAGCCATCTATCTAGGCTATTTATGGTTCAGAAGGAAAAATCAAAACAGACACAGCAGCCCGTAAATCTTTTTTAGCAAGCAACTAAGCATGCTTATTTGCCATCAGAAAAACAACAGCAGAAAATGAGAGTGACCCCTAATGAGGTGGAAAATTTAGAACTGGAGTGGGTCTCGCATGGGATTAAGGGCAGAATGTGGGGCTTAGCTATGCCCTTATGACTAGAATATATCTTGACATGTTTGAATTGCAGTCAATACCACTTTCAGGAACAAAGAGAATAGCAACACAACTCATAAAGTGCATAGCCGATGTATCTTTAAATAAAGAAATCAATGGAGAACCAGAAAAAAACAACAGGATGTTTAGAAATGACTAGGGGAAACAATACATTTCATTTCCTCTCCATTTGCAGTTATACAACAAAGGAGCCCAAACACAAAGCTTGTAGAGGGGCTTTGCCCAACAAGATTTTAAGAAATCAACTACAGAATTAGGAGATCTTTTAGATATTTGCAGACTTAAGAGCTAGCTTAAAAATCCTGTCAGTATTTGAAATGCATTGATTACTAACCAGTCTGTTAATTCTTTATCGGCTAAACTACTAATCAAATCGATTAATGACATACAGTAGAAAGGCTAAAAAGGGTTGCAACAAGCAAAAGTCAAGCATAAGTAAAGATGCACCAGCAACTAGGTCACAAGGAAAGCTCCTTTTCCAATACTGATGCACACCAACTTGTCCATGTCCAGTTAATATCATGTCATAAGCGGGACCCACAATGTGATGAAAGCCTTAGGCTTGGCCCCACATAAAATTGCTGGAAAGCAGATCGAGAGAATATAACTGCATCACCTTCCCGTTCAAAACTCTGAAACACACCACCAGCATCTGTCTTAGCCCTAGGTGGGTCTCCCTAAAATTATCTATGCAGCTAAGAGCATTTTTTCTCCTGTTAACACACATGCACATTTTTCTTTACACAAAGCTCCTGATTTAGACACCCATTTTCGACAAAGACACGTAAATTCGACATGCCAACACGGACAACTTTAACTACATATGGCTTTGACAAAAGGTGGCATTTCTAAAAACAATTTCATCTTTCTTAATAGTTACCAGTTTCCTAAGACCAAACGTATCCAAAATTAATTTAAGAACATGTTCTTTTTTTTATTAGAAGTCGGGCCAAAGCATTAAGGAATCACAAAAAGATCAAGAAAATGCAATCCCACAAATGTCATTTCATAAAAGCCACAGGCAACCAAAAGGAGCCTCTATAAGATAGTGAACTCCGATCTTTAAAGAATGCGAATAACTAGCTAACCAATCCGCACATCGGCTTTTTCACAATAGATGTGCTGAAGATGAACATCCCTAAATCGTTGCAAAATTGAACAAACCTTCTGAACTAATTTAGGTACATGTTTAAAAATTCCTACCACGAACCAGTTTACGTGAGCCCACACTCAAGGGGCTACAGGTCCAGCTGCGTAAGCATGGGTTCACATACAAGAATCTCCTAATAACGCTCAAGAGCTAAGAACGGCATTATAAAACAGGGGATCCGGCCGTACATGCAAATCACATACAATTATGTCTCATAAATTACGTTTGGATCCGCGACTGCATGCAAGCTGTGCTTAAGCAAAAACATAATAATAACACTCTAACCAGTGAAACCAAGTTTCAAGGCCTAAAGTGACCAATTCCATGGTGGTCCAAGGGGGTACCTCCAAGAGCACGAGATACGAGAAGGTACAACGGTAAGAGCACAGAATATAAATAAAAGAAGTCCCCATTTGCCAATTGCCATGCAGTTGCAGCACTGAAAAGGCACAGGAGAGGGTGGGTGGAGACCAAGACAAATGAACTGTAAGGCTGTATCTGTTGGTTATAGCTAGATTCCCAAAGCACACGCATGATCACGTGCACCGATGGGAAAAAAGTGAACATTTTACAAACAGCAAGGACTCTCTGCATTAAATATAAACTGCTACTTATACCCCTTTTTTGTTGTATCCAAAAGCCATCTTTGCAGGGGTGAAGTTAAGCTAACAAAAAAACCTACAGCATTCCTTTAACAAAGATTAGACATAGATTGACAAAAATACAGAGTAATGTGAACCTTACCAAACAATTTTCTCAGGATCACTTCTGAAAGAATGTCAACAAAGCTAATTGGTTATAAAATATACTAAATTATTGGTCAACAAGAAAAAAAAATCTCTAAACAATTTTAATTCTCAACTTTTTTAATCTGCATTAAGTTTTTCATCTTGTTAACTAATCTTAGACCATATTTAATGTACATAAAAGACATGTGAAATCATAAAACAGCAACATGTTTTATATTTCGAGCTTTCAACACGTGTCATTATTTATAATAGCTCCATCCATATGTCCCTGATGTAGTCTAAGATTAATAAATAAAACGAAAAAACTTAATTGTATTAAAAAAAGAATTGAGAACCTAAATCAGAAAAAAAAAAAAAGAGTTAAAGATACGTTTTTAACTAATAGTTCAGAATACTTTATAACCAAATAGTCTTTCAATAATTGAATTTATCAAAAGTGATTTCGGAAAGAAAATATTAGATAGAATTAGCATTATTCTTGCACTCCTAATAAAATTATGCACTTGAGTGGGTGAAAGTTCCTTAAAAGCGGTAGGTAATCCAGTTGATGGTAATAAAATCTTAGAAGGACAAAAGTGCTCAAAAAGTCGAAAAAGAAAACACAAAGTGGGGTCAAGAATGGCTTACCTGGGGTCACCAAAGACACCAGCATTCATGGTGAGTTGTTGAATTAACCCAGCAGACTTGGGTTCCACACTGGAGGCTTTACTATACTGAGCACTCAAACCAGCTCCTGAGGGCACAAAGAATGCTCCATTTACCATTATGTCCCCATCTGTTCTCCAATTCCAACCTGCCCAATCTCCCTCGTTTGTGTCCACCCTCTTTGTTACCTACAAAAAAGTCCATGAAATCACCGTCAGAGATTGAACTTCACGTTCCTAAAATGAGTGTGAGAATATGTAGCGAATTTCGTCCTGCATTTCAATGGCTGGCAGGCACCAAAGAGATCACTTTCATGCTGACATGGCTTAAATTAATTTCCAATTGGATATAACAACTTGCTTTTTCACTTCTATTTCCATTTTTTTACGCTAGAAATTCATAAAATATAGGGTAACTGGAGCCCTTTTTAAGCGGTAAAAAACCTATGGATGAAAAGGACTCAGAACCAATAACAAAAAAGATGGAAACTTTGGTTTTGCTACCCCCAAAATTTAGTTCCGTTTTACTTGAGTGCTCATTTTCCAATCATGCATGACATTTCTAGCAATGGCCACCGCCACTCCTAAATCGAAGGCACGTGAAATCACTGGCCAATAACAATGTTTGAGGGGTTGCCATCAAACCTCAAAACAAAAGTCAAAAAGTTCACATTAGGCCCCCATACAAATATCTCCTCTAGATAATTGAAAATAATTCAAAGCAAACTAACCTCTTTCGCATTGTTATCAGGTGGGGCAGTGTATCGATTCCCTTGGCTATTTATAGTAGGGTTAGCGCTACCACCAATTGCATACATCTCCCAAGCAGTAAAATCATTGTTCACCACATGTATATACCCTCTTCTACACCTTGGCATACGTTGGACAAGCCCTTGACCGAAGTGATTAAAGGCTATAGTAACTTGCATTCCTGTGTCCAATGCGTACTTGTCATCATGACCCAATAGCATCACTTCATCATGGTGTGTAAAATGGTTGTTTGATATTGTGATCCCAGTGGACCCCATTATAGCATCAATCAGACCATCAGTGCAATAAGATAGTGAACAATGATCGATCCATATCTTCTGGGCCCCAAAAATGGAGATGCCATCACCGTCTGATCTTCCTCTCCACCCAACATGCGTTGGTGATGCTGCTATATCAGTGTTACCAGAAGGCTTGCAATGGTGGACGTGGATGTTGTGGATAATAATATGGGAAACATATTGAAGTGTTATGCACCCGTACCCTGTAATGTGCACATTTGCACCACGCCCATCAATAGTTTTGTAGCTATTGAAAATAAGTTCATGTTTGAGCTTGATGACCATGTCTGTGGAAAAGACGATCCAAAGAGGTACGTCTTGGATGACACCATAACGCAATGTGCCTGGTTTTGGGTTGGCTGCGTCGTGGTCAGAGGAGTCAGTGACCACATAGATCTGACCACCTCTACCACCTAATGAGCCTTGACCAAACCCAATGGCGCAGTCAGCTAAACGTTGGCGGTTGTTAGCCCAATCGGGGTCGCATCTCCAGCAATCGTCGATGGGGTTTCCGGTTTGGCATTGGTCCTTTTCTTGAATGGACAAAAGATGCCTTATTGATAGAGATGCATTGACTCTTCTGCAAGGTAAAATATAAATATATCAATAATGAGATACCAAAGCAAGGAAAAGAATATTTAGTTGGCTTAAATAAAATGAAAAATGCAGGAAGATAAAATAAGCCAAGTAGCCACGAGACTTGGGTAAAAAGAAAGGTTAAAAAAAAAACAGGGGAAGCAGAGTATGCTCTGTTTGTTTCCTGGGCAAATGCAATGAGTGCAAGAAAAACTACACTTTTTGTTTTGTTTTGGTGTTGTAGATCGGTTAATAGTTTAAAATGAGAGACACCAATGAGACAGAAGCCTTCAATGAACAGAACCCAGATGAGGTTTTGTTTGACGCTCTCCTGTTTGGTTGCTGAGAAAACATGGCAAATCAAGAAAATGTCGTTTTATTTTCCATTTCCAGCTCAAAATTACTGCAAAAGAGAGATCCTCTAATGCTAAAACCTTTAATGAGCGAAACCCGGTAGGAGGTCTGTTCAAAATCAGGAAACTAGAAACTATTTTAAAACACCAAAAGCAAAACCCAAGTTAGCATTTTTCTCAAGCTAAAAGGCAATATCTTGGAACTACAAAAAACCCATGATGCAAAACCATAAAATGAGCTAAACCCAGATGGGGTTTCCAATGATATACGGTACAAGGGTTGTAATGGTCTCACCTTTTTATATCTTCGGCAACAGCCTCAGGGTCTGGATGTTGGTGTGGAAGGGTGAGATTGAAGGCAGTAGTTTCCATAATTAAGAGAATGAAAGAACCAAAGAGGCAAATTAAGAGAATGTAGGTATTGGGAAGCTTCATTGAAGTAGCAATTAAAATGGGTTAAGTTATTAGGTATTCGTTGTTTACCCTTTTGCTTCTCTATAAAAGGAGACTCTTTAAAGAAGGAGGTGGATATATACTTTGTTCTTGAAGAACAACAACAAAAAAACGTAGGAAGCTGCAAAATTTGGGAAAATGTGATGTGTTTGCAGTAGTTTATATAATAAAACAATATTAAAATAATATGACATGGCAATAATGTTTTTAAAATAATAGTGTTACTTCCTTGGTAGGGCTTTCTGGTTTTTCCTGTTAGTTATGACAACAGAGAAGAAAGGAAGAACAGAAAGGAGGGGTATGGTGGCTGTGATAGAGCAGCCATGGAGGTGTTGGTGATGTGAGAAGGAGAGAGAATGGTTCTCTCTCTTTCTCTCTAGTTCTCTAGTGTAGAAGCCTCTCAGTAACTCAAATTCCTACCTTGCTTGCTAGTTATGCTAGGGCGAAAAGAACATATCATTACGTAAGGTAAATTTTTTAGTGTGAGAGAGCTTATCCAAAAATATAAAAAAAATTGCTGAAAGTTCTTTATTTTCTTTGTTCTCATTCGAAATCTAGTTTTTTTGCTTTTCTCTTGGTATAAAGATTCTTGCAGTAATGGCTGCCAGTAATTAATGTTCTGTTCTAACAATAAAGCCTATTCTCTCAGGTAGAGACAAAACCCACTTCTCTTTTGGCTTTAGACTCAAATGGAGATTAAATCAAATTACGCTAATCAAGGTTGCAGCTTTTCAGTGATTTCTTCTTTGCAAGTTAAAAACTAACAGCCTTTTATTATTAATAAACTACCTACTACTTACAATCTAGGGTTGATTCTCATTTTCCAAGGAAGAGAAGAGAGTGAGAGAACTGCAAAATGGTCCCTCTTATTTGCAAGATGATTTGAACTGTCTGGGCCCTTTGAGGGAATAGCATGTGGGCTCAAGTTTCATCCTTTCAAGGAATAGGGTTTTAAGGGATTGCAGGATGCGTTGGGCAAATTTTGCAAAAGAAGAATAGCTATCATAGCTCCACCGCAGCAACCTGAATAGGCAACTGGATGCAAACTCATCACTTCGCATTAAATTGTATGTGATAGCTCTCAAGCACATTATTGATATTAACAACAAAAATTTGTTGATGATGGTGGGATCAGTTAATCCGGTTGATAAACTTACTCGGACAAACTCAAAGATTGAGACACTTCTCCCAATTCAATAGCAACGCATTAGATGAAAAGCAATGAACGGTTCTAGGTTATCATGAACTTGAGTCTGTTCTGCGTTCATATGAGAAATACGGTGTCCCACCTCTAAATCAGATAGGATTTTGGAACTTTTTAGCATTCCCCACCAAATATACATTTTGAGTAATTAAATTTTTAACAATTTTTTCTAATAAGTAACGTGTCATTTGTTACGAAGAAATACTTTCAAATCATAAAATGTTGATATTCTTATCATGTTTAACGATGCAATAATAATTATAAAATGTATTGACTAATGAATCATCAATAATGTGCTGTCATGCCATTTAGTAAAACAATATTAGGAAAAAAATTAAATGTCCATAGCATTATCGTAATCTTGTTTGTGTGTCATTATAGCCATTACAAATACAATAGATCTCATATCCATGAAAAATGCTTAATCCAAAATTTACATAACTTTTATAGCATTTTACTTTTTCCATTTTAGGATCAAATTTTAATTTTTCTATGGATCGAAAGAGAAATCTAGATAATTCCTATCCTAAAAATTAAAATATATAATATATAATATATTTTATTTTCTAGATGTATACTCAATATAAATTCTTAATTACTTTTGATTTTTTTAAAAAATATTGTTGCATCGCTTGATTTTATAATTTTGTTTAAAGACAATAAGGATTCAAATAATACACAATTTAACTCCTATATTATTATAAATTTTTTAACAACTTGAAGGACCATGTAGGTTGATCATAAAAGATGGTTTTGTTTTATTTTATTTATTTATTGCTTTTACATCTTACTGAAAAACATTCAATAAACATTTTAAACTAAAACTTATGATATAAGCGTTTCGATTGGTTTAAGTAAAAATAACCTGCAATAAATCTATAATGAGAAATTGTGATTCAAAAAATTTAGCTAAATTTTTTAATCTTAATTTATCCTTTTTCAACTTGGTATCAATGTTTTAATTTTCTCTTTTTCACATACATACATGGCAAGATAGACTCGATATATATGCTAATTTTTTAATAAATGGCAAAATATTATCGGTCAAGATACAAATACCCTAAACAATTTATATGTTTTAACCACAAAAACATACTTAAAATTACATTTGTTTCATTATTATGTATTGATTCTTTTACTGGTCTTATTTTCGCAAAAAAAAAATATATATTTTCTTAAAGCCTGTCTTTTAATTCTAACTTTAGATAACGATTCAAGATTTCTGAGTATGAACCCTTCAATCATTTTTCATTAATCTACTAAACCTTTGAGCAATGTCTTCAATCAGTCACCCTGACAGTGACAATTGAGCTCACCGTCAATTGAACTTCTTGGACCTTTTTACTGTTTTTCCCATCATTTATTCATCAAGCTCAGGCAAGATGCCAGAAATTTTACAGTATTCGAAAAATAACTAACCACACACACACACACACACATATATATATATATATAAGAAATAAAATAAAGAATCAAAAAATTACATAAAAAATATTTTATTTAGATTTTAATGCTATTTTTCTCATTTTTGTATTTATCTATTTCTTTAAAATTGATCTATAAAATAAATATCTGTAGTTATTTGTTGGCGTTTCGCTGAGGGGACATCGATAATCCATAGGTGGTCTACTTTTCATGAATGAGTGACCAATCCGGTATAAAAGATTGGAGAAATCAAGGGTTAATTAACTACCACAAATCCCATAAACTCTTACGACCAATCAATGCTTTCAAATTTTAACCTCTGTCCTTGTCGCGTTGCCATCTACCTTTATTTCGGTGCATGCACTTTAGACGGACAAAAAAAATGATTATTAATGGCATTTGACCTCAAATTTTATGTTGAAAAATATTCATGAACAATAATTATGTTCGTTGCCATTTAGCTACAGAGAGTAATGATTAGCACAAAGATTATTTTCTTCGCCTTTATTAATGATCCAATTAAATTGGCCCTGGTTTTGGCACTTACAAGCAAGGATAAGAATTTAATTTGAGAAGAAATTTTTATAATAAATAATAAATTTAAGATATTAATTTTAATCAATATAAATATATAATCTGATATATACGTTTGTTCTAAAATTTTAAAACATAAGAGGCCAAAAACTTCTATTAAAAATATGAAAAAAAATTATTTTGAAAAAACATGAGAAAAAAATAGATTAAGTTAAAAACTTGAGATGTCAAAATATTTAAAAAAATATGAGGATTTAAAAATACATTTTGAAAACATAAGGGACCAAAAATGAATGAAGTGTAAAATTTAAAAATAAATGCTCAAAAAGCTATAAAAAATTACAAAACTGCCATCGAAATAAATCACCAAAACGCCATATTGTAAATAGTGATTTAAGGCAAATGAACAGTAAATAAATAGTATTTTACTGTTCATTTGCCTCATTTCTTTTAGTTTCTTTGGTAATGTTAGTGTTTTTCATTTCTTTTTAAAATCTTTTTTTAACCAAAAAAATATAGAAAAATAAATTAATTATAATCTCATCAAAAGAGTCTTCGGATATGAGATTTTTCGAGAATATAATCATCACCATTGAATTTACGAGGTCTATTGATAGGATACATTCGCACAAAGAATGCATTAGCAATGGATCAAAACATTCAAAAGTTTGGTATTCGCCGGTCTCTAAATGTCTCTGTTGCGGGTCTAGTCAAATAGAGTCAACGAACCACCTTTTTTTGCATAGTGAAATAGCAGATATGCTTTGGTCCTTCTTTGGTAATATCTTAGACGTGGCTCCTAGTTCCGTCACTATTAGACAATTAGTATCGACTTGGCTTCCGAAAGGTAACATGGTTGCTCAAAAACCTTTTTCTCGTATGATGATTTTCAATTGTTTGGTATGGGAGATTTTGTTAGCTAGAAACAGTAGCCGTGTTTAAGGGGAAGTCATGAATTTAGTATCAATCAAACATAAGGTATTGCATTGGCTCGGTGAATTGTCAAATTTGTTTAAGCTAAGGCATGAAATGTCATTCCATGATAAACTTTGCATCAATGCTTTGGGTATACATATTCAAGCCATCATTCCTATCGAGGCAGTTGGGTCCGTTGGCAACTTCCCCCATTAGTAAATTGAAATTAAATATAGATGGAGCCTCTAGGGATAACGTCCGTATTGGTGGTGGCATATTGAGAGATGAGAGAGGGAATCTCATTATGGCATACTTAAGGTTTTTTGGGACAAGTACTAACTTCGGAGGTGAAGCTTTACCTCTTTTAGACGACCTTCGATTATGCAAATTGCATAATCTTTTTCCTGTTATAATAAAAGGTGACTCAACTATGATATTAGGAGGGTTGTCTTACGCATCCTCGATTCCTTGGCGATTAACCTACATCTTTAGAGAGCGTTGGGCAATGAATTCTCATTCTATTACAATTCAGTACATCTACATAGAAGAAAATATTGCGACTGACGAGCTTGCCGATTGGGCCTTTCATCATCACTCAAGCATAATCACTTTTGCGATACGAGACCTATCTTTATCTTGTCGCAATGAGATATTAAATGACAAGAATGGTTTATTCAATTATCGCTCGAGTCTTAATTAATTGACTCGACTATAGTTAGGACTATGATGTAAAGAGCTTAGAGTTCCGTTGTTATGTTTATAAGCCTTTGTTCGGCTTTATCGAAGTTATCGAGTAGGGGTTCGGTTTTCTTGTCCTCCCAGCTTGTTGGGCTAGGTCGGA